GGTTATATGTCCATTTTAGGTCATTCTTTTTTCGTTTTGCTAATTAGTTTATCGCGCTTCAGGGAAGTTTTATGGGAAGACCCTATTGTTCTAAAATTTGCTGTCGCAGGTGAATTTTCGAAAAAACAGTCCAAAAGTGTCGTCTGAAAATTAGTATATAAGCGCGCGGGCGCCGAAGTCGCCTTTGAAACAATTTAAGGCAGGGTCTGCGGATATTAGATGTTGTAAAATAAGTAATAAAGGGGGATCATTTGGTTGGCCAGGAAGTTGAATCTCTGAGGAGGGGCATCGGATCCCTCCATTAATCCATTGCTGGTCAGTAGGATGCCAAGCTTGACTTTTTATTTTCAAACGAATACTTCCAAATAACCATCAAATTACCTCACAAAATAGGCTTCGCTTTAAAAATAAAAATATAGAACCGAATTTTTTAAGATCAGTCGAATCAATAGCTATAATAAACTTTTTGCATTTCTGGAACATTCCGCTCTAGATTTATGGAATATTCCGCATAAGCTATTAGGGCTCAAAGAAACCAAAAGCAGTATGAAAAAAATCTCTAAATTTTTTGAAAATAATAGCAATGAGCTAAAAACAAAAAGCAGGCCAACTAAATTATTTAGCCGTTTCCAGGTACCATGTTGAAAAGACAAAACGGACCCAGGGGTTCAAAAACATCACCTTCCCTCCCATTGATGAAAAAGAGGAAATCATTAAAGAGCCAAAGAGGAGATACCACTTCCAGTGCTCAAACGCAGCCAGACCTGGAACTCAATTTTGAAACTTAATTGAATTAGATTCATATATTTATTTAGTTTGATACAAAAACTCTTTTATCGGAACAAAATTTGGCGTCTGACTACTCCCTTCTCCCTTCACACAAAACATCAAGCGCGCAGACACACATTTTAAAATTTTTGTTTTCAGTGCACTTTCACATGATGTGATTGAACGCGTCATTTTTTGCTGTGAAGTATAAAAGCACAAATATATCGAGAATAAATAACTTGATCACCACTCAAAGTTTCAGGCGGAAGTGTATATTTTTCAAAAAAAAGTAGGCTGAAAATTGATACCTTTGTCTCGCACGATGTTAATAAACAGCCTTAACAAGCATCATGAATAAACAACCGAGCGTCAACTAAGGCAAAAAAAATTAGGCTGAACCTCGTTAAGCCGGAAAGGAAACTGTAGACAAAAAACTATAAAAGCTATAAAACTTCGAACATCAAAATTTTTACGACCCATCTCTCCTGAAACAGGAAAAAATCGCACGTTAAACTACGCAGCATAAGTTGACTAAGCCGATATAACATAAGACGAATCCGTTTAAATGAAAAAAAAAATCAAAAAACAATTACTAAAAATCAGTTGAAAAGTTAAAAAACTACAGAGCAACTTTCGATTGTATTAAAAAACTGTTTGAATCAAAAATTAAAAAAAAAACCAGCTTTGAAAAAGAACCGCTTGAAAAGCTTACCAGATAATAAATTTCATATGAAAAAAAGGAAAATCAGGCGACAGAAATTAGGACGCAAACCGCATCCAAAAAAAATCAAAATTTTTTCGATAATTATATTTGAATACGTAACTACTACCCGCATAAACTAAAAAAATAGCTTAAATTGAATTTTGAAGCAATTAAACATGTCAGCCTTTTACCATGTCAGAATCAAGCATGTCCGCAGAAATTTAAAAGTTGTTTACCGGGAAAAATTCTAATCTCCGATTTAAGTCGCTTGCTCTCGCAAGTGAAATTATGCAACTGCTAAGCAAATTTGGAACTCAATAGCCAAAACTATAACCAATTAAGTGGAGTTGATCTGATGAAGAATATAGCAAAAAAAAAAGACCCCAAATGTCTTCAACAACTTGAAAATTTGTAAGAAAAGTTGTTTACGGGAAAAAAGTCTAGTTACCGATTGATAAAATTATTTTGCCATGGATATAAAAACGAGATAAGTAATGCAACCCTAAAACAAAAGCTGAGGCATTTAAGAATTTTTTCTTTATCAAATTCATTTATTTGGAAAAATTGATTTGTCTTAGATTACCATTTTTAATCAAAATTCATTAGGAAAAACAGTTTCCTTCCTCGACCGTTATGCTAACACATTGCCAGTTGCTAATCATTAAGTACGATATTATTTACAAAACAACGCCGGCGTAGCAATACTAGCTAAAGAATGGAAAATGAGACGGAAATAACATATGCTGAAAAAATGACAAATTGGAAATGTCTTCTCGAAAAAGTGAAAAAATCATTTTCAGAAAAACAACCAGGAAACAGAAACACCGGCTTTAAATAAGCTTTTATTATTTACCGAGCTGCCATTAAACTGACAATACCTCGGTATAATCCCATTGAGCGGAAAAAAACGCCATAAGAAGTTGTCAAGAAAATTTTATGAGCGATCAAGTTTTAAGACTTTGAACTAATACAACACAAATGACCAGAAAAATTAAAAAAACTAAATACTATTTTGCCCTTTAAACGATAAAAAATTATGCGACTATGCCGATATAACAAAAGACTATTGATATTCAAACCAGTCTGGCCGAAAAAGCTTTCAAGGAAAAAAAGTAAAATATAGGAGTAGTAAATTTACAAATTACAGTAAAGTGAAAAGGCAACCGCGTTACCTCCAGACAAATTAGTTGAAATGTTGAGATTCAACGAGAAGCTAGTTCAATTTCATACAGCTTTATAAAAGAAAAGTTGTTTACGAGAAAAAGACTAGTTCCCGATTATAACACTTGCGATGGCAAATGTAAAAAGACGTGTTAATCGTCGAAATGAGGAACGACTCACTTATATTGTCCGCTCTAGTGGTGCAACCGAATAATCCAACGATCGTTTGAGAAAAAACGTCGATAGCTTCCGCGAACGTTCTGTTCTATTAGACATGCGTGATATTGAGTTTTTTTAAGTAATTGACTTAATTGACTTGTCTAGCGAGCGACAAAGCAACAAAGCTAGTAACACACTGAAGCTGCTTTGATGAGTCTGAGCGTGTTTTCTGCTCAGTTGAAAACGTTTTTAACAGAAAAGAGCAGCACTTACTGGAGATCATATCCAGAATACAAAAAATCCGAATGAAATACGGCATGTTCGGAGAATGTTTTTGACAAACATTCGATGGCTAATATCGAGCGAATGATGCACCGCTTATGTTGGAGAGCTCGAAGGATCTTTCGGTCAACCTAAAAATGTCATTGCAATTTTCGAGAAAAACTCTTACAGATCATTTAGAGCGGATTAGTGGTTCATATAAAATCCATTTCTAAAACAAAAATTTCCTAACACTTTTTCTCGAAAATTTTAAGGAAATTTTTAGGTCGACCGAAAGATCTTTCGAGCTCCCTCCAAACATCATAGAGACCCATTATAGAAAAGCTTTCAGCGCCGCGTTAATATTCTAAAAACCAAAGACTGTTTTAGAGGACTTTGGAAATTTTTTTAGGGCACGTTCACCCGATCGCACTTAATCTGCCCCGGTGATACCTGATTTAGAGTGAAAAAATAGAGGACCAGCTAAAGCTGGAGGTACCTGTTTGATAATTTTTGAATTTTTTGTACTGATGCGGGATGAAGTAGGTAATTTCAACAAATTAAGAATTTGGAATCTCCCAAACTTTAGTTGTTGCTCTATCAAAAAATGAATGAACATTTTTGTGATTTTAGAACTTTCCCAGAAAAATACTTTTTGTTGAAACTTTAACGCGTATTCACGGAGGCTTCTCACAACTTCTTTCCTTGAATAAACCGTTGATATCAAATTGATTTGTTTTCGAGAAGTCGAAAAGTTTCAAAACACGGACAAGAAATCAAAACATTGACTTTTCCGAGAGTCATAACTTTTTGAGTAAAAAAATGGGGCGAAATTGTTTACACAGGAGAGCTGCCCACAACTCGTTCTACCTATTGAAACCAATATCTCAGATTTTGGAGGTTAGTTTTCGAGAAAAGTCAAAAATTTTCAAAACACGGACAAGAAATCAAAACATTGACTTTTCCGAGGATCATAACTTTTTGGGTAAAAAAATTGGGCAAAATTGTTTGAGCAGGAAGCTTTCCACAACTCGTTCTACCCATTGAAACCAATATCTCAGATTTCGGAGGGTAGTTTTCGAGAAAAAACAAAAATTTTCAAAAAAACGGTCAAAAAATCAGATATGCTTTTCCGAGGGTCATAACTTTTTGAGAAAGAAATCTTAGTCTTACCAGCTTATGCAGCAGAGCTAACCACAACCCGTTCTACTCATTGAAACCAACAACTCAAATTTAGGTGGGTACTTTTCGAGGTTCCATGACATTCTACCCTATTCCAATCTACCCTATGCTAATCTACCCTATACTATTCTATCCTACATACCAATCTACCCTATACCAATCTACCCTATACCATTCTACCCTATAATTAAAGCAATTGAAACTTACCCCATCCTCTTGAAGAATCCGAAACAGTATATTTCCGAACAAATCAAAGAACCATTAATTATGATCAAAGAACAATTGACGCACGTGAACAAATTATCAAAGCAACGTAAAACTTGCGCGTTCAAAATGGAAATGAGTTCAAAGCATGAACGAACAGAAATTTTAATCCAATGTTGCTATAGAAATGCGTTGCGGCTATTTCTTAAACAAGCAAAAGTCATATCACATCAAGTCGACATAGCGTAGCGGATAATGCTTGTGTTTGAAAATCAAAAGCTCGAAAGATCAAAACACCAAGAAGTCAAATTTTGAATGAAATTCGAAAATTACTGAGGGTTTGACTAGTTGATCACAAAAGGAGGGGTAGACCCCCCAGTACCAGGCCAAGGCGGTACTGGGGGGCGGGGTGAGGGAGAAGGTAAAATTCTTTTGGTATTGGCCTCTATTACCTCCCAAAATTTCAGCCCTCTACGGCCACGGGAACCTCAAAAAGTGTATTTTTTAAAGAAATTAAATCGAATTTTTGAAAAATTCACAAAGTTTGTTAAAATAAACTGAGTTAGGAATGACTTAATTGCGCGAGAGAATACAAATAGGTTAAAATAGAATCTTTGTTAAAATTGTTGCAAATGTTTTTCACTTTCTCGTTCAATTCCCTGTACTTCTTTCGACTGGGGTTGCTGTTTCCTCCCATTGCTTTCATTATATTAAATTTCTGATTTGCAGCATCCAGTTTGATTTGTTCCAGAAAGGTGTGAACGGATGGGTGGTTTCCTTTGAAGAGAGTAGCAACGCCAAGATGCCAGCCTTCTACAGCATTTGTTGTCCTTATTAACCCAGCAGCTGCTTCTTCGGAATGATTCCAAAGGTTTACTGGGAAGAGAGGTTCGCGAGAATTCCTTCCGATGGTTTCGCCTTTGATGTAGGTGCGCTGAAAGTATGAGGCTACCTCATCAAGTTTTTGAGTGATATTGTCGTCAAGATCAAATTTGTCCGACACATTTTCGATTTCCTCAATGACCAAGTCAAAAGCAGCATTGACCATTTCAACTGGTACGAAACTTAGAGCTGGAATTAAGCGCAATGACAAATTGAGATCATGATTAGTTTCGTACAGTCGCTTCAGGCCCACTTCGTTTATTTTCCGGTTGAACGCTTGACATAAGTGAAAATAGCAGCCTTTCAGCAACGCTCCGGTATGGTGACTAGCGAAAGCGTTAAGTGCTGCACGTTCAAAATCGAGGAGAATGCGGTGAGGCTCGTGGTTTTCGGTGATGGCTGATAACCCCTTCAGTAGCTTTTTGTAAGTGTGTTCTGTTTTGTTGGGCAACAGTGCATAAATGCAGGGGGGGTAAAAGCCAGCGAGTTGAATGTGGATGGTGTAGAGTTGATAAAATTGAATCGGGCAAACTTTGAACGTTCCATCACACAGCCAAACATCTCGATGTAATATCAAACTCTGGATATTGTCCCGATCTCCAAAAATCAACACCCTTTCTGGATCTTCAATGCCGCTATCGAAGACGCAAAAATCCTCATGTTGCTTTGGCACTTCAAAATGTCTGTCGACAATTGGCGGCATCGTGGGTCTATCATTTACCTTCTGTCGATTGAGGGCCCGGTTAATAGCCGACCGGCAAGGAAGAGCTAACTGAACTGCTTTTTCTTCGGAGACAGACTGCAGGCCGTTTGCTATAATTATGCTGTTGACTGGTACTTGCTGTATTTTTGTGTCCTGTTTCATTTTCTGCACGAGAAGCCTTGCATCCGAACGACCAGGAAATACTTCGTGCGTGTGCTCATTTCTACAGGAAATAAGATCGTTTTCTCTGGTTATTGCTGTCGTTTTGCATTTATGGGACCCCCATCTTGAACACTTCCAGTGAATGTTTCCATTCTTTGTTTCCTGTTTTTTCGTAAACTCGTGGCCACCGATTACAAGCGTTCGCCGATTCTGTTGGGATAAACCCCAAGAAATTTGACTCATTTTAGTAGATGTTATTCCAAAGGAAATTGATATAATGACGTAGTTTTGGTTTCATTCTTGTACGTGATTTTGAAAATTGGGGATTAAAACTTGTTAATTGAAATAAATTTCAAATTTTGAGACTCTAATTGCGATTTAGTCTTTAGAACAATTTCCTTAAGTGAAAGACTCAAATTGAGTCCAAAAATTTAGACTCAAATGAATTAACACGTGCTGTATCTTTCCGATTCTAATTAGGACTCTGAAAGATTACATTATGATACCTCATTATGGTATATAGGGCAGATTAGTATAGGGTAGATTAGTATAGGGTAGATTGGTATAGGGTAGATTGGTATGTAGGGTAAAATGGCATAGGGTAGAATGGTATAGGGTAGTTTGGAATAGGGTAGATTGTCCTGCCACCCTTTTCGAGGTTCATAAATTTTGTGTGAAAACATTTAGGTGTAAACGTTTATGCAGGAGAGCTCCCCACAATTCGTCCTTTATTTTGAAACTAAACTCTCAGATTTGGAAGAGTAATTTTCGAAAAAGTTCAAAAAATGGTAAAAAAATCTAAAAATTGACTTTTTTAAAGACCATAACTTTTATTGTAAAAAAAAAAATTGGACGTAGCCGGTAATTCAGGGAAGCTTCTCACAATCTGTTCTATCGATTGAAACCAAAATCTCAGATTTGGAAGGCTTGTTTTTGAGAAAATGTAAGAAATCCAAAAATATGGGTCAAAAATTCCCCCATACACTTTTTCGAAGGCAGTAGAAAGTGGGGTAAGGTAAAAAGAGATTAGGGGAGCATGCAGACACACAGGGGAGAGACGGACTTCCCATTGGTACCATTTTTAAAAAAAAATTGGTAACGTAGTTTTTGAGCAAAACAAAATTTTTTAAAGTGAAAATTTTTTCCAAAGCGTCTCGAAAAAAATAAATAAATAAATAAAAACCCGATCTCATACTTTTTTATAATACCTGTTTTTATCAACAGGAACAAAATAAAAATTCCCGAATACAAAGCTCCTTCCTCACTTTCAATGGTCGGAATAATAACTTGGCGTGTAACCTGTTGAATATAATGCCACTTTACTATCTTTTCACGCAAAAAATAAACAATGTAGAACCAATTAATTATAACAAAATACTCGTGTTATCTAACAGGGTAAGCTACAAATTCATTACAATTTACACCTTTACTCTAACCAGAATCTAACTAATCAGAAGCACCTTCAGCTGCGGCATGTTGCAATACATAACATCCTTGATAGCACTGGTCACTTTAGTTTGCATTAAAGATACAGTCTCTAAATTCGGGTGTTCGAGTCTCTTCGCTCCGAAATTAGTCAATGCCATATTTCTACTCAAGTTCAACTTCGCAAGAGAAGTCAAGGTTTGGAATGGCTTGCGGTCGTTTTCCAACACCAATGTGAAAACACAATCCGACAGATTATTTCCGACCAGACTCAGTGTCGTGAGCTGAGTCAAGTTTCGAATCGCAATCACATCTTGATCTTTTATCTTCGTATAGTCTAGATTGAGTTCAATTAAAGATGATAATCCACAAACTAACTCGACGCAGCTTGAATCGAAATTCGAGTTGGACAAAATCAGACTTTTGATAGTGAAGCTTCCTTGGCTTAGAAGCAACTTGAAGTAAGTTCTGAATCCTTCAGCAGTTAAATGACAGCAATTAGTCAAATCAACATCAGTTATGTTCATTTTCGCCAACGAACTTAAATGACTGTCTGTGAAATTTGACCTCAGCGGAATGTTGAATTTTCTCAAATTTAGTCGACCACGAAGAGCTTCGAAAATCTCTCCCATAGCCTCTGGATCACAACTGTTGGAAATATCTAGGTATTCCAGCTTTGAACAATTAGCGAGGCTGGTAACATCAATTAGACGGCAATTTGAAACTGATAACGATTTCAGATTCTTCAAATTGGTCAAAGCTGTCACTGAATTAATTTTGGTATCGTTTACTGTCAAAGATATTAAAATAGGACAAAAAACTTCAAAAACAGCAGTATCATCAACATACGTCGAGGATAAATCAAGCACCACAAGATTTTTCATGACGAGGCTAAGATTAACCAATTTTTCGAGTGTTTTCGAGTTCAGTTTTGTAGCCGCGGCTTCAAATATTTCCAAATTTGGTAAGTTTACCAACAAATCTCCAATTGCAGCACTAGTTAAGCTCGGACAATGAGAAATTGTCAAAGTTCTTAGAGTTGAAACTTGCCCTATATGGATCAGCGCTGCATCAGTCAAGTTTTCGCCACCTCTCAAATTCAGACTTGTCAGATTGCTGAGAGAAATTGTGCGGACCAAATCATTAGTTAGGAAGACATAGCCAGCTAAATCTAGACTAGTAATGCCACTGGTCATAAAGGCTCGATACGTTTTTCCGTTTAGCAGACCTCGTTGTTTAAGCATGCCAACCAAAAGTTCAGCCGAATTGACATCAAGAGTTGATATATTGACCTTCTGTTGCATGAAGTACTTCAACACATAGTCAGCCGCTATATTTCTCAGCGTGGAACAACTGAGTTTCAAAATCGGTGGAGTTTCCTCCGGGATTTTGGGATCCGGTTTTGACATTCGATTCTGCGCCGCCTCTAGAAACCGCGTTCTTCTCATTTCACGCGTTTCCTCCAGAACCATTTCTACATCAGTTGCTGTCGATGTTGTTGCTGATGTTGTGTTCGTGCTTTCGTTTGTACCATGTGCGCCCAGTCTTTGAGTTATGTTATACTGCGCTTCTCTACCTCTTCGATATATTCCAAAATTGCGCATTTCGTCTTCATCTTCATCATCGTCATTTCTTTCTGCGTGACGCGGAGGCTGAAGTAACCCAATTCCAGCACCTGGTGCAATAAGTGGAGGTTCTAACCCCAAACCTGCCTCGTCTTCATTTTCATCATCGAGCGGAGGTTCGAATCCAACCCCTGGTGCATCTTCAATCTCATTCAATTCCATTTCATTGTCTTCCAGTTGTTCCTCGTCTGTCGGTATATTATGCAATTGTTCATAAGGAACATCACTTATATCCTCGCCTGAACTCAATTCTGAGTTCTCTTCGTTGTTTTCTTGGCCCTGTGACGTAATCATAGGCCCAGCGTGAACGATATCGCCAGGCGCAACATCAATTGGATCACCGGGTTTGGCAACTTTAACAACAAGAGCAATGTTGTTTCCCATGTTTAAACTTCTCAATGTTTCACAGGCCTTCGAAGTATCGATTTCAGTAAAGGGCGGAAATCCTTCAGCTAATGTGTAGTTCTTCGTCTTCACCTGATTTTCGACGAAATCAAAAAGAACAGATACCAAACATCCTGGCGCAAACTTTTCAACTAAAGATTCGCCATTCGGCAAACGAAAGCGGATATTTATAAACGAACCTGGGTGAAATTAACTCAGAGCGGACTGAATGGGAAGCAAATCTTTCAGCTAAAGCCGAAACAATTGTACGGCGCAAACTTAGAAACTAATCACAAACAAATCAACGAAGATAGCCGGTTGTAGTGCAAGTAGCTTGAACTTAATCCAAAATAATATAATCCAACCGGTTTTTCTAGATAATGGGTATACTTGTTGAAAAATGTTTAAGGACGTTCGAATCACAAGTTAAAAGTCTTTAAGATTATAAAATCACTCTAACCATTCTGATGTTTATTTGCGGTACCTTCTTTTGCGTGGAAAAAAAAACTATAACATACCCGAAGACAAATTTCCTTTTCCTAACATTTCACAATGATCAGAACAAACTACTTGCATATCAGTCCTAACAAACTCTGGCTATTTGTACCTACACCAGCAGGCTCACAAAGATAAATTTTCCAAAAAAAAAACAAAAACCTTTCAGCTCGGGAAAGGTTTCTAATGATGAACTGCTAGGTTATCGCTATTTTTTTTTCGAAATTTTAGTTTAGTTGGCCTGATGGTGAAGACTAGCTATCAAGTATTTTGTCAAACTTGACAGTAAATTACATATCTCAGCTATCGAAAACACAGGCCTTCGAAGTATCGATTTCAGTAAAGGGCGGAAATCCTTCAGCTAATGTGTAGTTCTTCGTCTTCACCTGATTTTCGACGAAATCAAAAAGAACAGATACCAAACATCCTGGCGCAAACTTTTCAACTAAAGATTCGCCATTCGGCAAACGAAAGCGGATATTTATAAACGAACCTGGGTGAAATTAACTCAGAGCGGACTGAATGGGAAGCAAATCTTTCAGCTAAAGCCGAAACAATTGTACGGCGCAAACTTAGAAACCAATCACAAACAAATCAACGAAGATAGCCGGTTGTAGTGCAAGTAGCTTGAACTTAATCCAAAATAATATAATCCAACCGGTTTTTCTAGATAATGGGTATACTTGTTGAAAAATGTTTAAGGACGTTCGAATCACAAGTTAAAAGTCTTTAAGATTACAAAATCACTCTAACCATTCTGATGTTTATTTGCGGTACCTTCTTTTGCGTGGAAAAAAAAACTATAACATACCCGAAGACAAATTTCCTTTTCCTAACATTTCACAATGATCAGAATAAACTACTTGCATATCAGTCCTAACAAACTCTGGCTATTTGTACCAACACCAGCAGGCTCACAAAGATAAATTTTCAAAAAAAAAAAAAAAACCTTTCAGCTCGGGAAAGGTTTCTAATGATGAACTGCTAGGTTATCGCTATTTTTTTTTTCGAAATTTTAGTTTAGTTGGCCTGATGGTGAAGACTAGCTATCAAGTATTTTGTCAAACTTGACAGTAAATTACATATCTCAGCTATCGAAAACACTTGAATAAACTTAAATACTCGAATAGCTTTCTTGACCAACATCTTTTTTAACGAATTGACCGAGGATATCAAAAACAACTTTCGATATCCAATTAATTGAAAAAAAAAAATCTTGCGGAATAGGGCTCTCAGTTTGTGAAAATTTCTGATGATAAACTGCGGGACCTAATATTTCCGCAAAAAAATGAGATTATTATATGAGATGAGAAGTTGTTTTTGATGCCCTCGATCGGTTCATAAAAGAAGACATCGTGCAAGAAAGCTATTTGAGTATTGATATTCATTAAAGAGTCTGAACTACGTTCATCACACTTGAAAGTTAGAATCTCACGCTAGATATTCACGCAAGGAAAATTATAACTATTTCAACTAATTTTCGAGAGCTGGGGTCGATTTCTAAAAACAATTTTTCTAACTATTCAAGGTATGAAAACTTTGCAATACAGGGTGTTTCGTAAATTGTGTGCATTTTGAAACCCACCGTTCAACATGTATGATACATTGGGATGAACCGTTTTTATCATCAGATAGACAGTTTACTACATATTTTTGCCAGATTGAACAAAATTTTTCCGGGGAAACGGCCGCGTAAAAAATGCATTTTGTTCAAACCTGTGAAACAATTTTGTTATTTTCAATTCACAAACTTTATAATGGTTGCATTAATCACGCCAGAACAGAAACGTTCTATCAATGCTCTTATTACCAAAACCCTTCAACCGCATGGGTTAGAGGGCAGTTTTTACTCGATTGAAATATTCTACTGAATTCGAGACGCTATTACAGAGCATCGGTATTCGAATGAAGAGAGAGCACCGTCCGAAGAGTTGATCGAACATACTCTTTTGATGATGGCCTAAACATCGCTGTCGAAACCGTTGTGCATATCACATTAAGTGCCTTAGTTTTGAGGGCAACTCGAAACATCGTAAGACGAATGAAAAAATGTCGCGCTATGAATGGTCGGCATTTTCAGCAGCTGCTGAAATGAAAACTTTGCTTAATCTAAGATGATAAAAAATTTATTCAATGATCTAACCATTGATACCATATTGAAGAAGAACGGTTTTGAAGGAAAGAAATGGCAGCGTTTTCAAAATACGCATAACTTACGAAACACCCTGAAATCGAATTTCATACCGAGAGACTCATTCATTAAAAAATATTGAAGTTTCCCGAGGAATTGCAATTAATTTTTGATGCTTTCGATTGTTTCGTTAATTTTTCCAAGACGCTGTTCAAGTGGTGAAGCCGAAATATTTCAAGTTGTTTTTGGGAGCTGCGATTGATTCGCAAACACATAAGTTTTCAATGTAACTATTCAAGCGATGATACTTTGAAGTGCTTTTTGATAGCTACCATCAAAAACATCAATAGTTTCAATAGTTTGATAGCTACCATCAAAAACATCAATAGTTTCAAACAAGTTGTTGAAGTAATGAAGAAGCTTAAAAAAAGTTGTTTTGAGGAGCCTCGGTCGATTCGCAAGTTCAAAAATTAAACAAGCTATTCATTCGAGCCATGGGGGGATTTAGGACGGGATTGCGGACTTCCTCTTCTCAGGAAGTCATACCCTTTTTTGGTTGACAGACCCTAAAATAGGGTCTTTTTGTCTTTATAGGATTTAGCACACTCAGAAAAATCGTTGAAAATGCCCCAATCTCTCGATAAAAACCTAGATCCGCCCCTAATTCAAACGATGCAGCTTTGAAAGGCCTTTAAAAATTTGAGAATATTACGAAAGGCTCGCACTGAATAAAAACTATGTTTTATATTGAAGATATAACGCAGTTCAGAGTTTACTTTTGTTCAAATAAAACCACTCAAGAAAATTTAAAAAAAAAAACAAACGGGCGCTGTCTAGGTCTAGACCTGTTTGAATTGAGCAGACCTTGTCTGAAAAAATGAAATGTTTACATAATAAGAAACACTCCAGCCCTCAAAATAATATATGATACAGAAAATTTTTGCCTTTCTCATAAACAATGCGCTCAGCGGACTGATAGGCAATATAGATATATTTAGAGAGAGGCCAAATTTTCCCACTAACTTGACCAATTTAAAATCCTTCCGCTTTGAGTTATTTTCACCCGAACCTGTGGTCATCTGAATGTTAGCTTGTACTGGAATTGAGCTCTTTTCGTTTGATTCTTCGCTCTTGATTTGAGTTTCAGTCGAACTGCATTTAGCATTCGCCCGTTTTTGCCTGTCCTCTTCGATTTTTCTCAGCGCCTCTAACCGAGCATTATTCTTCATTTCTCGCTCTTTTCGTTTTTGTTCCGTTATCATATCATGCATTTTTGAATTCATTTCAATATCATCTTTCGCTTTTTTAGTGTAACGACTTCGCAGATTATCTTCGCTGTTTTCGAATTTAGTTTCTTCTGATGGTTCAATATTAGATGTTTGCTCAGACGGTCCTTGATTTCTCAACTCTTGGCGAGCTCTCTTATCAGCTTGAATTTCTTTTACAAGGGAATCGTGGTCCAACTTTTTCAGCTCCTTGTCTCGAATAATCTCTTCACGCTGTTGTTGCGCCTTTTTCTCCGCTATCAATTTCTGAGCATCACGTGTGACGCTGTACCTGGAATGCATAACAGGCTGTTCATGCGCTGATGTTGCTGCGTCATTTCCAGGGTCTGTTGAATTAGGCTGCTCATCTGACTGGGAAGTTTTTCCAGGTGGTTGTTTGTTCAGCTGAAGAACGCCTGCAGAAGATTGGCCAGGAGTAAATGCACTGACTTGAGATATATGATTCACAGCCTGTTCGATTGTAACGCAGCCAGCACTGAACGCCAGTTGACAATCGGCCCACGCAAAACCCATGTCCAGCAGATTCGATAAAACCTCATCGCTCATAATTTTTGCATATGGTTCCTTATTACAACTTTTATCTAAAAAATTAACATAGCCATCAGGCAAGTGGAAAAGAGTCAAGGATCACAAAGAAACAGAAACAAATGTATTTTTTGAGCACAGAGGCGAAGCTGAGCTTTGTAACAATTGCGATACAAAAATGAATGACTATGATTACAATCAAACAAAAACTGTAAGAAAATCGTTTTTGTCATAAAAAAAATCGCAAAAAGTTAAAACAGCCCTGAAAAACATTACCTGCACCATTAGAAACTTTACATGGAGCTTTCGGAAAGCAATAAACATGCCGAAATTCAAACAAAGTCTTTTCTGTTGGAACTAAGCCGGCAAAAATAGGCAGACAGACCAAAATCAAGAACTCCAAAACTTTGAATTTGCAAAATTATTATCCCGTCAGAAATCGAACCACCGGGCTTTATCGTCTCAAGTACGGCTGTTAGAAAAACTTGGAGGAAATCTGAACCTTCGGAAAAAATGGGCTACGGGAATAAATCCATAAATAAAGAAACGGACTATAGCCCGAAAAAGCACAAAAACTAGTTTGCAAAAATAGATCCTGGCAGGATTCGACCACAAGCCTTTGCCGTTTTAAGCAGGTGCGTTACCTCTAACCCAGATGGACCGAATGGTTGACCGCATTTATAATAAAGCACGTAGATGAATATGTCCAGGAAATGAGTCCTGTGATCCAAGTTAAATACAGGGAAAAATCTAGCAACAGATTGGAGTACTCTTCCTTATCGCAAGGGTAAAAAACGTCAAATTCTAAATACCAAAAATTTTACGCTTTCAGAAAAATAATGATTGAGACTTTTTGATCAAAGTAACCCAATTTGATAAAACTGGATCAATAGGTAATTCAGCCGGGAAATCTGCAAAATAAAACCTAGAAGTAGATCACATTTTTCATGACCTTTATATAGTGATGTTGGATAATGAAGTTTGCCTTCCTTTTAAAAATGAAATGAACTGATCTTGGAGATGAAGTAAAATCAAAGGTCAAACCTCAAAAAAAATCATTTAAGCGTGAACAAAATTTAAGATATTTCCCTGAAAAAAATTATCACGACATTTATAAGAGTCACAAATAAGTTCATAGACTGAAGTCTAACAGAGATTTAGAAGAGCAATACCACAAGTGCAATGAAATTTAATGTTTCACTAACACAAACCATTTGCTTAGAGGATACGATTTTTAGTTACCAACCATGTCATTAGAAAGATAATCAGAAAGATAGACGATTCATTTTTTTTCGGAAACATACAGCCTGCAAAACCTTCTACGATATGATTTACCTATGGTTCTAGTTTCTGAGAAAGGCGGATGTGCAATTTGCAAACACAAGCAAAATCGAAAACAGGAGTTCCTAAAGTCGGAAGATGAAAAAATTAGCAATGAAAGAAAATACTATGTCAAACTGTATCGTCTACAACGAATTTGAACCCTCACAGAAACGCTCCAGCAGCTTTTTCAACCTTCAGCAGTTTTTTGCAAAATAGACCAAAAATATAAACGACCGACTTCTTTTTTAACTTTTCAATTTTTTTACTTATTGCATCCTTGAAGCTCAATCTTATAATTATCACTTTTCCGATCAAGCAAAACCGACTAAGGAATTATAGTCAAAGAATTTTGTATATCTCTCTAAGAATTCTACCAGGCTATAAGCTACTCTTCACAAAATTGAAAAAAAAAATAACTTAAATTTGATAAAAAATATTTTGAACTACGAAATTATTGACCAATTAGCTTGCCTCAAGAGCACGAAAGCAATGCTTGCAATACACCACAAATTTTCAATGACACCTAGCCGAAAGAAAAATTTTGAAAAATAACAAAACAAAAAAATTCAAAGGGTGTATTCATTGAACCCAAAATCTCAGATTTGGTAGGCTAGTTTTTGAAAAACAACAGCAGAAACATCGGTCAAATATTGCCCTAAAAAACTTTTTCGAAGGGAGTATTGAAAAAAAAAAGAAAAAAAAAGAAACAATCCGTCTAACTTTCATAATACCTGTTCTTATCAAACATGAATTCTAGGCAAATATGTCAAGCAAGACATTTGAAAATCAAATTAACAACTGAACGAAACTAACGAAGCGGAAACGAGGCCGACTATCTTTGAGCAGACACTAGTTGAGCCGAAAAAAATTATTTTGTACAAAACTTTAAAAAACTTAAATTCCCCTGAAATATCCTGAAGTAACTAATACTCATCAAGTTAAATTTGAATTTTCAAGAAATTGACAAAAAAAATGACAAAAATTTTCATTCGGAAAAAAGTCTGAGAAGAAAAAATTCTAACCAGAAAGGTTCACCGTATTTAAGGAAACGTAACAATAGCCACACGACTTAAATAAGTAACCTTTGTCAACGCAAACTAGTGCACAACATCACTCAGAAATAGGTATTTCTCGTATTGACATCAAAAAGACAAAATTTGTTTAAAATTATGATTCGGATAATTTAATCATCTCCATAAAACTTGAAGGGTAATCTCATTATGACACACGAATTGGTACCAAGGCTCACATACGCAAAAAATATACGTAATTTGAAAATGTAGGATTTAGAAGCGCAAATTAGAAAAATGATCTTCAACGGTCAAATTCGCAATTACCTTATCAGGTGGATCACAATTAATTCAGGTTTATTATTCACTTAGTTCTATTTCCTTGTATATATTTTTTTCGGTTTCTTTTTTCTTTGAACAGCCATCAATGGGAGTGTTGATCGATGGCTGTTGAAACTATTCTAGCACTGATGATGACCGCTAAACTGGGCATCCAAGTCAACAGAAAGATACTCAGAGACAATTATTTACATTAGAATTAAGATCAACCTTGCACTCCTCGGGAATACAATTTAACATATCAGTGGCTGCAGGTCGATGAAAAAATAATCAATTTTGATAACTCGATAAGTGCCTTAGTAAAGTAGAGGAGGAACGGCTTAGATTATGTATTCGTTGGGGTTTGATGAAGATGCATTAAATGCTGAAAACTACACCGGAGGGCCCCTTCCATAATTTAGAAGTTTTTATCAATTCTGATTCCAATTCTTTTTATCATTTGTTTTCAGATTTCCTAAAATTAATTCAAAAACAACAACTTATGACAAGTGTTGACTGTCATGACTTTGTCATGGGTTATCACACTGCACCGCTTTGCACAACACTTCACCCGAAGTGTTATATTCTGTAATCCCCCGACAACGTAACGGCCTGGAATGAGTTTCTGAGACTACGAAGTCTTATTTGCATTCATGCAACAAATTTGACTGTTTTTCGGCTAAAGAGTCGATTATATTTTCCGATACGCATATAGATACTTGTGATTTGTCCACCAAAAAAATGCCGCCACCTATTTCGATTAATTCTGATAGTTATTTCAAGACTATTTTTTTTGCCAGGAAGCGCTAAATACTTTTCGCTTTAATAAATCCAAGTTTTTTAGGCTTAAATTTTCAGGTAACGAACGTTTCTCGCTTTACCCGCTCGAAATGAGACTGAAACTCCAAAACTTCAAACAGGCTTCTCTCGATTCAACGTCTCTCGAATCAAGGCTGGAAAGGATTTTATATGACATGTCACTTTTTTTTCATTCATTAGCCCACGTTGGTCGGGTTGGGCTCGTCTGTCTCCAGGCTAAGGAACTTCCACCGGCGGTAGTGAGCGGGGAGGGATTCTCGGGGCAGTTAAAAATGTGGCAACTAGTTAAAAATGTGGCAAGTTGACAGTCCGGGCATAGTGGGGAAACTTGGTTGCCTAGTCGGGAGAGGTATGTGTTTAAAAGCCGGCTGTAACCAGACCGGAGTTGTGGGAGTTTACTGCGGGTAGTTCTGGGGAGAGATTTTTCTGTGGGGTCGACCTTACGGGGCGGTATACAAATTACTTTAGAGGGACGGATTTCTGCGATGAACTTGGTTACTAGATTTGTGTGGTTGTGATTTAAAAGGGACTTGTGGTGTTAAAAACGAAAGTGGAAACTTCTTCTGGGTTATTAAGATTGAGTGAAGGGCTGAAACCGATTGCCGAACTTGACGTGGAGGTGTGAGTGGTATAAATTATTTGGTTAAGGGGAGCGGTATGACGAGCTAAAATTGAAGGGTTAAAAGAGTGTGGTGATTTGGAACATTGAGGATCACGACCTCACTGTGCAGGTGGGCAGTTGAACTCATGAGTGTTGAGCCGGTTCTAACTCTGAGGGCTTGATTTTGGGTAACCTGCAGGTAATTAATGGAGGTGTTACTGGCGGCATTTGACCAGGCAGGGGCGGCATACTCTAAAATGGGGCGTATTAAGGCTTTGTAGGTTAAGAGGAGTGTTTATTTAGACTGTCCCCAAGAGGATCCTGCCAACGCTTTCAGGATACCTATCCTGCGGCGAGCCTTGTCAGCGGATCTTTTACAGTGTGCAGCAAAGCATAAGGTTGGGTCAAAAGTAACCCCTACAATTTTTGGGTTTTTGTCAAGAGGGAGAGGCTCGTTGTTTAAAAGTACACTGAGTGTTTGTTAAAATCATTATTGTACGATGAAAAAAGGGTAACTGATCCTTTAGAGGACGCAAAAAATAACTTCCTGGAAGTGAAAAAAATAAAAAGATGATGAAGGCAATCGTTCAACGATCGAGATGCTGCCTCTACATCAGGGCTTAGGGAAAAGGGATGGAAATCGTCAGCGTAAGATGTGAGACGGACATTCTACGGGGGTGTGGGAGCGTCATGGACAGAAAAACTAAAAAGAGAAGGCGAAAGAACAGAGCCCTGGGGAACTCCACAGTGAACTATTTTGTAGGGGATTCTTGGTAATCAAAAAGTGTGGTGGCTTGTCGGCCATTCAAGTAGTTACTCAGCCAACGAGCAATACCTCTCGGGAGCGGCGTGTCATGAATTAGTTCCACGAGAGTACAATGACACACCATATCAAAAGCCTTCGAGAGGTCAAGCGTTGCGAGAACGGTGCGGGAGGGTGGGCGATTTTGATTAAAACTGTCTGTGACAAAAAATTCTAGTGTGGAAAGCGCAGTAGTGGTAGAGTGGAAAGGACCAAAACCATGTTGATGTAGGGTGGTAGGGAGATACTTTGTTAAGAAAAAGGGGTGAAAGAGCCTTTCTAAGACTTCAACAGCGAGGCAGAGTAAAGAGATGGGCTTATAAGAAGTGGATAATTTATAGTCGTTTTCGGGTTTGGGTAGAGGGATTATTTTCGAATTTTTCCACATTTGAGGGATAATATTTTCAGACAGCGACATATAAAAAAGAAGGGTTAAATATTCAAGAGCTAGGGGTCCCAGGTGTTTATCCTAGATGACATATCACTAGAACCATTCCGTTGATTAATTTGAGGTACTTGAGGAAAACAAAAAAGAAAAACAACGATAGCCGGTTGCTGTGCAAGTACAAACGAATGTTCCTACCACATTCTCAGAATTTTTTTTTTCAAATTAGCGTCTTTTTTTGCGCGTCGTGTGATGAAAGAGCTAGACAAAACGTATAAAACTAATGAATTCGGCATGAAGTACTACAATTGTATTCAAAAAAAAATTAAAGGAAAAAAAATTTTGCGCATAAAAAATTAATTTGAGGTACTTTTAAATTGGACCTAAAAAGGAGAAAAAAATTCAATTTTTTGTACAAATTTTAATAATTTTAAAACTTTTTTGAGCCAAAGAAGTGCTAAATGAAGCTTCCAAAACTAACATTCCTTTTGGTGAAATCAGATTTTTTTAACCTCAATTGCTAATTTTCTCATAAAACAAAGGTCACTCGATGGTTTTACTGGCTCGAAATTGGACTCAAATTTCACACCAGTTTTTCGTTTTTCTCGACACTTGGGACAACTTTTTGAAAACATTCATATCGTTCGAGTCACGACTGGAAGGGCTCTTAAATAATATATCACTCGACCAGTCCGATGATTATTTGTGTTACCTTGTTTTGCGTGGAAAATAAATTAAACCACACCCGAATACAAAGTTCCCTCCCCATTTTCAATGGTCAGAATAAATACATCCTATGAAAATAAAAAGCGTATTTTGACCAATCAGCGCTGAGCTGTAGTAATTTCTTTGTTTCGGGTTTTTTTACGAGCAACCCCCAGCACTATGTGTCGATCATTTGAATTCTCCCCGTGTGAATTGAAAAATATCAAACGCAACAAAATTAATTAGATACATAGTTAAAATTGATTGATATTGAACACAAATATAATGTACAGCAATAAAACTTTTTCATAGTTTTCATTCTCAAAAAAAGGAAAACAAACTTTGTTCCTCAAGTAACTGCACAACTTCTGAGTATTTTTGAATAATTTCGTAGAAAATTGCAACAAATGGGGTGACAGATTTTATAACTAACATTTTTTGAATATCACTGTAAAAAAGTCAATCAAGGAAAATATTAACTCGATACAAACTTATTGCAATTTTCTTTTCTGCAGATTCTTGGTTAAATTTACAGCATTGGTGAAAACTAAGGAGCCTATTGTCATCTCGACGAACTTACTTTCAGATATCGTCGTCACGGTTTCAACTAATTGGGATGAAGCATTGCTTTGGTGATGGGTGATGGTAATCCCTCATGTCCGAATGTTACGCCGTTTACAATTTGAAAAAAAAAATCCGAAAATTTTTAACCAATCAAAAGCGTTTCAACACTGACTAATTTATAATTTAACAACTCTGATTGGCTCATAAAACTTAGTCATTCGTTTCCTCAGACATGATGAATTACCCGGTCGTACCTGATCTTTTGAATAGCTTCCAACGTTATCTGATCACTGATCAAACACTTGGTCAAAGGATTTGAATTTAGTCAAGTCTCGACAGCAGCCTTCCGGCATTTTGGCAAATGCAGCGCAGATTTCGTCCACTTTGGAGGGGTGACAAGAAATAGCACAACAGGAGGCCTTTTGGTCAAAGAAGGTGGCGAAGTACTTCTGGCAGACCCTGGACAGGTCTTTCAAGGATACTTCGGATACCTAAATACCATATGCGGACTTTTAGGTCAACCATTTAAATGAATTGTCCCCAATCACTCTTCAGACAATCTTGAAAGAAATTAACTCATTGGGTGGGCAATTTTGAAAAAGAGGCGAGGCTGCTCTTCGCAAACACTAGCGAGAAAACGACAAAAAAAGAAGCTCTATAAAGCGAAATAAGAAAGTAGAAATACGCTTCGAAATAGTAAAACTTCTGCTTGGTGTCGCATTCGAACCTACGACCTCAAAATTTGGAATCTCACGACCTTCCCTCTCAATCACGGCCTATAAACAATTGACAAACACTAGCTACAAATAAAGCAAAGAGCAGATGGTATGAGAATTTCAATGCTATACATTGAGATTATAGCAAAAGTACCAACAAATTAGCGATTTTATTAATTGCGAGTTAGGATGGAAAAAATCCATACTAGTACCTAATGCTTGCTAGTTAAAAAAACGGTCTTACAAAACACGTGCATTTTTGTCAGACCATTTGATTCAGGTGACAGTCCTGTAGCCTAAACAGATTCAAAAGACATTTAGGATGAGAAAAAAATAGAATAAAAATCACAAATAGAAAAGAAACAAAATCACACTTCAAATTCATCAAAAACACAAATTCATGACATGCAAATATCCCTGACAGCAAGGGCTAGCCGCATAAAGACTTACAGTCCCTTGGAATATTCATATGAATAATTGCATCATAAATTAATTTTTTCACGATATTTAAAATTACCGCACTTGCTTGATTAGCGGTAACTGCTTCTACAAACTGCGTTATGTGCCTGCATACTCAGTCTCACTGTTGGAAACAGATGGAGGCTTTTAGACACAGGACACCCAAGTGAGCTCAGGTGGCAGTAACCAGAGAACAAAATCATGAAGGAAATCAGTTTGTCAAAAGCAAACTGAATCCCAAAACTAAGAGAGAATGAATTGCAAGGTGTGCTCATTTCGATAAAGGTGACTTGTGATGGTGCCAACCAAAAATGAACTCAGATAGACAATGAAAAGTGAAGATCACTACCATCAAAAAACACTTTGAAAAACTGAACTTCTTTTAATGTTGGATATCTATTGGCACTCGATTTTGGATATCTATTGGAATTCTAGCAACAAAATAAACAAACGGGATCCCTTATAATTTACCCTTATAAAGTTCGAGCGAAAAGTATTTTAGGAGACGTTCGTTTTGATGTTCTGGTATTTCGAATATGATTAAATTCGAATAGATAATTCAGAAATTTACTAGTATGCGTGCTTGCTAAGGATCGAAAAAATAAATTCAAAAAAACGCTCAAAATCAGCTCGTGAACAGTTTAAATGTTGGTATGTTCAATAGGAGTATTTACGGAGTCTCGATTTTCAAAAAGTAATTTTTTTCTATTTATCTTGTTCTATTTTAGAGTGGCTAGGAGTGAATTATAGCTAGTACAAACAAATATAAACACACCGTATTCAAAAAATGTGTAAAAATTAGGTAGGAGTATCGTAAAACCAAACTCCTGACATGCTGAAAGACCAGTGGTAAATCACTAATATGTTTCAGAAACAAAAAAGGACCGATTAATGATCCTTGTGGAGGACAACGATTGACTTTCTCTCAAATGACTGCAGGCCATTTATTTCAATGCAATGAAATCGGTTTGATAAGTAACTTTTTATTCATTGAAGACAAGATTCATGTAGTTCATAATAGTCCAATTTTTTTTTTTTAGAGAAGCATGATCTTAAAACTCTTGAAGCCTTTTTCAAAACAAGAACAGTTGGTACAAAAAACCATTGCATGCACTAATTTTTTCAATGAGTTCAGCATTTTCGTCAATTGTATTGCTTTGTTCGAATACCAAATGGTTTCAATAAAAAAAATTATGAACCTCCATACGATTATTTGTTCTTCTTGAACGAGCAATTCCTAAAAGCATTGCTCTTGCAAATCAGTTAAGAAATAGGGCTATAATTTCCAACATTTACTTTTGATGCTTCTTAGAATAATGAAAAAACTTCGAAAATGAAAAAAACTTCAGCTGGCTGGAATCTTAGGCAAGATCCCGTTCTTCATTGATGAGTGTTATATTGGTTAGATGAGGAACTACTTGATCGCATGCCTGCTTACTATTATGTTGCTAATTTCAACTAGCCCGGCAGAAGGCATATTTTTCAATTCTTGACTTTATCATGGATTTCATCACATCATCATTAAATGGACAAAACTATTTTGACTCAATATTTAAAACACTCAATTTTTGAGGTATAGATGAACTTAGCTTTTAACCAATGCAAGCAAAATACTCTTCGAGTTCATTACAGACCTCAATTTGAGAAAGAATTGTCGAAGCGTTTGTCATTAACCTCACCAATCAAACTTCTATTTGATGAGTTTCCTTTAACAATATCTAAAAAATTGTATATTTGTCAAGAGTCACCATTACAACTTTCAAGCTTCATTAACTAAAACATTGATTTGGTTGTTTTAAAATTTTTACGCGTCTAAAGTTTCAATCGCTGTACAGCCTGCTGAGCGTAAGCTCAAAAAAGTCTAGTTCTCATAGAGATCATATTTTGGAGATTATTTGAGAACCATTTGTGTCTGATTTTGTTTACTATCTTATTCTTTTATTGCAATTGAGCGCAATTGTTAATAACTTCTGCAAACGTGTTTTTGAATTAACTAAAAACAATTATCTGTATTTCAGATCGTAATTAACCATAAGGAATTCTCATGAGTTATTTGCTTTTTACTTAAGGTTAAAGAAAAGTCTCTGTAGCTTATATGGAAATCAGGTTTAGGATTACGATTGAAAACTCGTAACTCGACAGGAATATGATCAGAAAAACCTTGATTTTTCAACAAATGGATCTCGTGATGATCTATGCTTTTTGTAACAAAATGTTTTATGCAGTTTTTAGCAATTTCAGTAAATCGCGAAGAACTCTAATGAAGCTAATAGAAGTCTCTACATGTAAATAGTTAGATGCTGTCAGATTTTGAGTTAACTGATTTTGACATCACCGCAAACAAAAACTGGAAAATTTTAGGATGACATTAGCTCCAGAAGATTATCAAATTCATCGATAAAAGATAATTTCTTTTTTCTAAAATTTATAGATCAATACAACAAAATAGGTAGATGCTTGTACCCTTACTTGAATAAAGATCGATTCCGGTAATGAATGATCAATTTCTTTCACATTTTTTCATTGGATCTCAACGCCTCCACCTTTCATGCCAGACCTGCATTATGAGAGATAAATAATTCAAACTCTTCATTTTTGAAGCAATTAGAGTAATCTGATTCATTCAGCCAGGTCTCGCTGATTGCTATTAACTTTGGTGGTGAATCAATAAAAATTATAAGCGCTTCTATTTCCTTATGGTGTTTTAACAGATCTTGCATGCTGCTTAGTTGTACTTTTGGCACAATTACCACTTGATTGGATTTATTTACTGTTTATAAAACCAGCTCCTAACGTCATTGAAAGAGTTTTTTTCTTAGGAAATCCAGCTTTCGTAGAGCATTCGTAAGCAATGTGTGCTGTCGATACTTTTATACTGGCATCATTCTTCATCAGATTCAGAACTTTGAATCGGTACCGTTAGGTCTTCGAATATTTTAATATCTTTATTTGTAGTATATTGCATGCGTTTTTTCTGGTTCTTTAGCATGATGACTTTCCCACTCTCCTGGAAAGCAGCACAAGCATTTTTCGAGGGTGATTTTTTCTGGTAGGCAATGATGCGCAATAGATATCGCTGCTTCTGTTACTTTGGCATCCATTTGGGCAGCTACTTGAATTACTTCGTCGATACTTTCTTCGTTGTCTTCAAATGATCGCCGCTCATTTGGGTCCGAGTCAGGATGTTCAGGTATTCCAACGATTCTCAGATTAATTTAAGAGCTTTCAGTTCACGTGCGTCGATTGTTCTGCAGTGAGCTTACATAAGTTTTTGAATCGGGATTCTAGTTAGTTTTCGAGGGTGACTTGCCTTTGATATCAGCTGTTTCTGTTATTAGAATCATTAGTTTTCTCTAACTGTTTCATACATTTTACATCCTGGAAGTCTCGTTAATTAAATTGACATTCTGCAACTCTTAGTCTTCAGTTAGTTTATTTTTAAAACATTCGTACTTTTCATAGCAAATTCTGCCAGCCCATCTAGTTACCTTTTTGAGCAGTTGTTTGTTGTAGTGCTTGTCCACTGCCCTGAGGTGGTTCATCATGGACTCCACACTCGCGTCTCCGATGCTCTTCTCCCTCTCTATCACCTCAAACATCACACTGCTCCTGCTCGCCTCCAGAGACATCTCATCAAACTCCTCACTCCCATTCAAATAGCCTACACACAACAACACAACGCTCTTCCTTTTTGAATGGAGAGGCAACATTTGTCTCAATTTTTTTAAAAACCGAGGCGCGTATTTTTTCTTCTATTTGTTTTTTTTTTGCGTATTTAAGGAGTTCGGAAAAAAATTGGCCAAATTAACAGTTTTGAAATCAACCAAATAATGCAAGAGTTAGAAATATTTCAATTTACTGGCCTGATAAACATTTTCGAAGCTAATTACTAGACTCCGCCAGAAACTAGGACGCTTCATTAACAAATTCATCACTTTACCGCAGAATTTCTAGTAAAAGAGAAGCCACTGTAACTGTGTTTAGTATGCCAATAAAATAAAGCCGAAATCATTTAGCCGAAAAAAATTTTGAGCGAAAATACAATAAAAAAAAGGAAAACATTCGAAGTCAAGGCTAGTAGAATTATAAACTGCAGTAATAAATGAAAAACATAAAAAACAAATACAATGAAAACTATATAAAGCAAAAAATCTAAGATGTGGCAACTAAGCCGACAAAACATAAGCAGACAAAAAATAAGCCGATAATTTTTTTGAAACTGATTATTTCCCGTTTGCAAAAACAAGTCTTAGTCAGATTCGAAATCAGGATCTTTGCCGTCCCGGGCTTATTTGCTACTTCCAGACTGCCGCAAACCCGCGAAAAAGATAAATTTCAGCCTGAACAATCTTTAAAAAGCCCTACCACATGAGCACTTTTGTTTGCGACTTATTACATAACGCATAAGTAACGAATAAAGGTGATGCCACACGAGTAGTTATTTAAAGCAAAATCTCAACCATAATTAGATTAGAACTTCTGAAATTTGAAATCATTGTAGAGCCCTCATATCGCGCGAAGCAAGGGTCTTTCCAGCTTTTGCAAAAATTCTCTGATTTTTGCACAGAAAAAACTTAAAACATTTTGTACATTTTTCGACTTTCAAACAAAAATTATATCACATTAAAGCTCTTTGAATTTCAAGAATTTTATGATTGGCACTGTACGTTAAAGTTATCCCAATTAGAGTAAGCTGAATCAAATGTTTTATTTTAATTCCGCTCAAAATTCAGAAAATTAAAGTCCATTTTCGGAAACTAGAATTCATTCATGTTTTTCGTGAACTTAACACTTTTGCAGTTCGATAGTCGAGTTTGTCATCTTTTTAATAAGATACAAAAACGGAATTTTAAAATGAATTAAAAACGGAACTTTGAAATAAATCAAAATTCGGTGATATATTACAATAGGTGGTAGGTTCAATTTGAATAGCTGGATCGCTTTTTGTTATACTTCGCACATTATTTATAATTTGTATCTACAGCCAAACTTTTGGCAAAAGAAGTGTAAAATTTGAATTTTTGAAAAGCATTTCATCTGGCAGTGTAATGTATTTTTTTAAAAATTCTTAGTAGTAGTACAATTGATTGAAAATGAAATGACTGTATTATGCATTATAGTTCTCAAAATACATAGATGCACTACGCTCAAAAGGTGATATAATACAATATTATGGCTTAGGTTGTTTTTAACCGAGGGATCTTGATTACTTCAAAGAAAGCTCATAAGAAGTCAAACAAATGTATCATATTAAGGTCTCCCAGTTCAATTACACTATTGATTTAGCTATTATTAACTCTCATTCATGTTATTTTTAACTAATTCAGTAACCACTTACTAAAAAAAAAAAAACTTTTTTTTGAAAATTCCTTATTTAATTCATTTTTTTTTCTTGGGCAGGACAACGAACAGGCATTTCTTGCTTTTGTTATGGTTCAATCAATTTCAAGTCGCTTGTATCACTTTATCAACAGTCAGTTTAGTGTTGATCACTTCTTGTTCTTGTTTTAGTTTCATTTGTTTTCAGATTTCCTAAAATTAATTCAAAAACAACAACTTATGACAAGTGTTGACTGTCATGACTTTGTCATGGGTTATCACACTGCACCGCTTTGCACAACACTTCACCCGAAGTGTTATATTCTGTAATCCCCCGACAACGTAACGGCCTGGAATGAGTTTCTGAGACTACGAAGTCTTATTTGCATTCATGCAACAAATTTGACTGTTTTTCGGCTAAAGAGTCGATTATATTTTCCGATACGCATATAGATACTTGTGATTTGTCCACCAAAAAAATGCCGCCACCTATTTCGATTAATTCTGATAGTTATTTCAAGACTATTTTTTTTGCCAGGAAGCGCTAAATACTTTTCGCTTTAATAAATCCAAGTTTTTTAGGCTTAAATTTTCAGGTAACGAACGTTTCTCGCTTTACCCGCTCGAAATGAGACTGAAACTCCAAAACTTCAAACAGGCTTCTCTCGATTCAACGTCTCTCGAATCAAGGCTGGAAAGGATTTTATATGACATGTCACTTTTTTTTCATTCATTAGCCCACGTTGGTCGGGTTGGGCTCGTCTGTCTCCAGGCTAAGGAACTTCCACCGGCGGTAGTGAGCGGGGAGGGATTCTCGGGGCAGTTAAAAATGTGGCAACTAGTTAAAAATGTGGCAAGTTGACAGTCCGGGCATAGTGGGGAAACTTGGTTGCCTAGTCGGGAGAGGTATGTGTTTAAAAGCCGGCTGTAACCAGACCGGAGTTGTGGGAGTTTACTGCGGGTAGTTCTGGGGAGAGATTTTTCTGTGGGGTCGACCTTACGGGGCGGTATACAAATTACTTTAGAGGGACGGATTTCTGCGATGAACTTGGTTACTAGATTTGTGTGGTTGTGATTTAAAAGGGACTTGTGGTGTTAAAAACGAAAGTGGAAACTTCTTCTGGGTTATTAAGATTGAGTGAAGGGCTGAAACCGATTGCCGAACTTGACGTGGAGGTGTGAGTGGTATAAATTATTTGGTTAAGGGGAGCGGTATGACGAGCTAAAATTGAAGGGTTAAAAGAGTGTGGTGATTTGGAACATTGAGGATCACGACCTCACTGTGCAGGTGGGCAGTTGAACTCATGAGTGTTGAGCCGGTTCTAACTCTGAGGGCTTGATTTTGGGTAACCTGCAGGTAATTAATGGAGGTGTTACTGGCGGCATTTGACCAGGCAGGGGCGGCATACTCTAAAATGGGGCGTATTAAGGCTTTGTAGGTTAAGAGGAGTGTTTATTTAGACTGTCCCCAAGAGGATCCTGCCAACGCTTTCAGGATACCTATCCTGCGGCGAGCCTTGTCAGCGGATCTTTTACAGTGTGCAGCAAAGCATAAGGTTGGGTCAAAAGTAACCCCTACAGTTTTTGGGTTTTTGTCAAGAGGGAGAGGCTCGTTGTTTAAAAGTACACTGAGTGTTTGTTAAAATCATTATTGTACGATGAAAAAAGGGTAACTGATCCTTTAGAGGACGCAAAAAATAACTTCCTGGAAGTGAAAAAAATAAAAAGATGATGAAGGCAATCGTTCAACGATCGAGATGCTGCCTCTACATCAGGGCTTAGGGAAAAGGGATGGAAATCGTCAGCGTAAGATGTGAGACGGACATTCTACGGGGGTGTGGGAGCGTCATGGACAGAAAAACTAAAAAGAGAAGGCGAAAGAACAGAGCCCTGGGGAACTCCACAGTGAACTATTTTGTAGGGGATTCTTGGTAATCAAAAAGTGTGGTGGCTTGTCGGCCATTCAAGTAGTTACTCAGCCAACGAGCAATACCTCTCGGGAGCGGCGTGTCATGAATTAGTTCCACGAGAGTACAATGACACACCATATCAAAAGCCTTCGAGAGGTCAAGCGTTGCGAGAACGGTGCGGGAGGGTGGGCGATTTTGATTAAAACTGTCTGTGACAAAAAATTCTAGTGTGGAAAGCGCAGTAGTGGTAGAGTGGAAAGGACCAAAACCATGTTGATGTAGGGTGGTAGGGAGATACTTTGTTAAGAAAAAGGGGTGAAAGAGCCTTTCTAAGACTTCAACAGCGAGGCAGAGTAAAGAGATGGGCTTATAAGAAGTGGATAATTTATAGTCGTTTTCGGGTTTGGGTAGAGGGATTATTTTCGAATTTTTCCACATTTGAGGGATAATATTTTCAGACAGCGACATATAAAAAAGAAGGGTTAAATATTCAAGAGCTAGGGGTCCCAGGTGTTTATCCTAGATGACATATCACTAGAACCATTCCGTTGATTAATTTGAGGTACTTGAGGAAAACAAAAAAGAAAAACAACGATAGCCGGTTGCTGTGCAAGTACAAACGAATGTTCCTACCACATTCTCAGAATTTTTTTTTTCAAATTAGCGTCTTTTTTTGCGCGTCGTGTGATGAAAGAGCTAGACAAAACGTATAAAACTAATGAATTCGGCATGAAGTACTACAATTGTATTCAAAAAAAAATTAAAGGAAAAAAAATTTTGCGCATAAAAAATTAATTTGAGGTACTTTTAAATTGGACCTAAAAAGGAGAAAAAAATTCAATTTTTTGTACAAATTTTAATAATTTTAAAACTTTTTTGAGCCAAAGAAGTGCTAAATGAAGCTTCCAAAACTAACATTCCTTTTGGTGAAATCAGATTTTTTTAACCTCAATTGCTAATTTTCTCATAAAACAAAGGTCACTCGATGGTTTTACTGGCTCGAAATTGGACTCAAATTTCACACCAGTTTTTCGTTTTTCTCGACACTTGGGACAACTTTTTGAAAACATTCATATCGTTCGAGTCACGACTGGAAGGGCTCTTAAATAATATATCACTCGACCAGTCCGATGATTATTTGTGTTACCTTGTTTTGCGTGGAAAATAAATTAAACCACACCCGAATACAAAGTTCCCTCCCCATTTTCAATGGTCAGAATAAATACATCCTATGAAAATAAAAAGCGTATTTTGACCAATCAGCGCTGAGCTGTAGTAATTTCTTTGTTTCGGGTTTTTTTACGAGCAACCCCCAGCACTATGTGTCGATCATTTGAATTCTCCCCGTGTGAATTGAAAAATATCAAACGCAACAAAATTAATTAGATACATAGTTAAAATTGATTGATATTGAACACAAATATAATGTACAGCAATAAAACTTTTTCATAGTTTTCATTCTCAAAAAAAGGAAAACAAACTTTGTTCCTCAAGTAACTGCACAACTTCTGAGTATTTTTGAATAATTTCGTAGAAAATTGCAACAAATGGGGTGACAGATTTTATAACTAACATTTTTTGAATATCACTGTAAAAAAGTCAATCAAGGAAAATATTAACTCGATACAAACTTATTGCAATTTTCTTTTCTGCAGATTCTTGGTTAAATTTACAGCATTGGTGAAAACTAAGGAGCCTATTGTCATCTCGACGAACTTACTTTCAGATATCGTCGTCACGGTTTCAACTAATTGGGATGAAGCATTGCTTTGGTGATGGGTGATGGTAATCCCTCATGTCCGAATGTTACGCCGTTTACAATTTGAAAAAAAAAATCCGAAAATTTTTAACCAATCAAAAGCGTTTCAACACTGACTAATTTATAATTTAACAACTCTGATTGGCTCATAAAACTTAGTCATTCGTTTCCTCAGACATGATGAATTACCCGGTCGTACCTGATCTTTTGAATAGCTTCCAACGTTATCTGATCACTGATCAAACACTTGGTCAAAGGATTTGAATTTAGTCAAGTCTCGACAGCAGCCTTCCGGCATTTTGGCAAATGCAGCGCAGATTTCGTCCACTTTGGAGGGGTGACAAGAAATAGCACAACAGGAGGCCTTTTGGTCAAAGAAGGTGGCGAAGTACTTCTGGCAGACCCTGGACAGGTCTTTCAAGGATACTTCGGATACCTAAATACCATATGCGGACTTTTAGGTCAACCATTTAAATGAATTGTCCCCAATCACTCTTCAGACAATCTTGAAAGAAATTAACTCATTGGGTGGGCAATTTTGAAAAAGAGGCGAGGCTGCTCTTCGCAAACACTAGCGAGAAAACGACAAAAAAAGAAGCTCTATAAAGCGAAATAAGAAAGTAGAAATACGCTTCGAAATAGTAAAACTTCTGCTTGGTGTCGCATTCGAACCTACGACCTCAAAATTTGGAATCTCACGACCTTCCCTCTCAATCACGGCCTATAAACAATTGACAAACACTAGCTACAAATAAAGCAAAGAGCAGATGGTATGAGAATTTCAATGCTATACATTGAGATTATAGCAAAAGTACCAACAAATTAGCGATTTTATTAATTGCGAGTTAGGATGGAAAAAATCCATACTAGTACCTAATGCTTGCTAGTTAAAAAAACGGTCTTACAAAACACGTGCATTTTTGTCAGACCATTTGATTCAGGTGACAGTCCTGTAGCCTAAACAGATTCAAAAGACATTTAGGATGAGAAAAAAATAGAATAAAAATCACAAATAGAAAAGAAACAAAATCACACTTCAAATTCATCAAAAACACAAATTCATGACATGCAAATATCCCTGACAGCAAGGGCTAGCCGCATAAAGACTTACAGTCCCTTGGAATATTCATATGAATAATTGCATCATAAATTAATTTTTTCACGATATTTAAAATTACCGCACTTGCTTGATTAGCGGTAACTGCTTCTACAAACTGCGTTATGTGCCTGCATACTCAGTCTCACTGTTGGAAACAGATGGAGGCTTTTAGACACAGGACACCCAAGTGAGCTCAGGTGGCAGTAACCAGAGAACAAAATCATGAAGGAAATCAGTTTGTCAAAAGCAAACTGAATCCCAAAACTAAGAGAGAATGAATTGCAAGGTGTGCTCATTTCGATAAAGGTGACTTGTGATGGTGCCAACCAAAAATGAACTCAGATAGACAATGAAAAGTGAAGATCACTACCATCAAAAAACACTTTGAAAAACTGAACTTCTTTTAATGTTGGATATCTATTGGCACTCGATTTTGGATATCTATTGGAATTCTAGCAACAAAATAAACAAACGGGATCCCTTATAATTTACCCTTATAAAGTTCGAGCGAAAAGTATTTTAGGAGACGTTCGTTTTGATGTTCTGGTATTTCGAATATGATTAAATTCGAATAGATAATTCAGAAATTTACTAGTATGCGTGCTTGCTAAGGATCGAAAAAATAAATTCAAAAAAACGCTCAAAATCAGCTCGTGAACAGTTTAAATGTTGGTATGTTCAATAGGAGTATTTACGGAGTCTCGATTTTCAAAAAGTAATTTTTTTCTATTTATCTTGTTCTATTTTAGAGTGGCTAGGAGTGAATTATAGCTAGTACAAACAAATATAAACACACCGTATTCAAAAAATGTGTAAAAATTAGGTAGGAGTATCGTAAAACCAAACTCCTGACATGCTGAAAGACCAGTGGTAAATCACTAATATGTTTCAGAAACAAAAAAGGACCGATTAATGATCCTTGTGGAGGACAACGATTGACTTTCTCTCAAATGACTGCAGGCCATTTATTTCAATGCAATGAAATCGGTTTGATAAGTAACTTTTTATTCATTGAAGACAAGATTCATGTAGTTCATAATAGTCCAATTTTTTTTTTTTAGAGAAGCATGATCTTAAAACTCTTGAAGCCTTTTTCAAAACAAGAACAGTTGGTACAAAAAACCATTGCATGCACTAATTTTTTCAATGAGTTCAGCATTTTCGTCAATTGTATTGCTTTGTTCGAATACCAAATGGTTTCAATAAAAAAAATTATGAACCTCCATACGATTATTTGTTCTTCTTGAACGAGCAATTCCTAAAAGCATTGCTCTTGCAAATCAGTTAAGAAATAGGGCTATAATTTCCAACATTTACTTTTGATGCTTCTTAGAATAATGAAAAAACTTCGAAAATGAAAAAAACTTCAGCTGGCTGGAATCTTAGGCAAGATCCCGTTCTTCATTGATGAGTGTTATATTGGTTAGATGAGGAACTACTTGATCGCATGCCTGCTTACTATTATGTTGCTAATTTCAACTAGCCCGGCAGAAGGCATATTTTTCAATTCTTGACTTTATCATGGATTTCATCACATCATCATTAAATGGACAAAACTATTTTGACTCAATATTTAAAACACTCAATTTTTGAGGTATAGATGAACTTAGCTTTTAACCAATGCAAGCAAAATACTCTTCGAGTTCATTACAGACCTCAATTTGAGAAAGAATTGTCGAAGCGTTTGTCATTAACCTCACCAATCAAACTTCTATTTGATGAGTTTCCTTTAACAATATCTAAAAAATTGTATATTTGTCAAGAGTCACCATTACAACTTTCAAGCTTCATTAACTAAAACATTGATTTGGTTGTTTTAAAATTTTTACGCGTCTAAAGTTTCAATCGCTGTACAGCCTGCTGAGCGTAAGCTCAAAAAAGTCTAGTTCTCATAGAGATCATATTTTGGAGATTATTTGAGAACCATTTGTGTCTGATTTTGTTTACTATCTTATTCTTTTATTGCAATTGAGCGCAATTGTTAATAACTTCTGCAAACGTGTTTTTGAATTCACTAAAAACAATTATCTGTATTTCAGATCGTAATTAACCATAAGGAATTCTCATGAGTTATTTGCTTTTTACTTAAGGTTAAAGAAAAGTCTCTGTAGCTTATATGGAAATCAGGTTTAGGATTACGATTGAAAACTCGTAACTCGACAGGAATATGATCAGAAAAACCTTGATTTTTCAACAAATGGATCTCGTGATGATCTATGCTTTTTGTAACAAAATGTTTTATGCAGTTTTTAGCAATTTCAGTAAATCGCGAAGAACTCTAATGAAGCTAATAGAAGTCTCTACATGTAAATAGTTAGATGCTGTCAGATTTTGAGTTAACTGATTTTGACATCACCGCAAACAAAAACTGGAAAATTTTAGGATGACATTAGCTCCAGAAGATTATCAAATTCATCGATAAAAGATAATTTCTTTTTTCTAAAATTTATAGATCAATACAACAAAATAGGTAGATGCTTGTACCCTTACTTGAATAAAGATCGATTCCGGTAATGAATGATCAATTTCTTTCACATTTTTTCATTGGATCTCAACGCCTCCACCTTTCATGCCAGACCTGCATTATGAGAGATAAATAATTCAAACTCTTCATTTTTGAAGCAATTAGAGTAATCTGATTCATTCAGCCAGGTCTCGCTGATTGCTATTAACTTTGGTGGTGAATCAATAAAAATTATAAGCGCTTCTATTTCCTTATGGTGTTTTAACAGATCTTGCATGCTGCTTAGTTGTACTTTTGGCACAATTACCACTTGATTGGATTTATTTACTGTTTATAAAACCAGCTCCTAACGTCATTGAAAGAGTTTTTTTCTTAGGAAATCCAGCTTTCGTAGAGCATTCGTAAGCAATGTGTGCTGTCGATACTTTTATACTGGCATCATTCTTCATCAGATTCAGAACTTTGAATCGGTACCGTTAGGTCTTCGAATATTTTAATATCTTTATTTGTAGTATATTGCATGCGTTTTTTCTGGTTCTTTAGCATGATGACTTTCCCACTCTCCTGGAAAGCAGCACAAGCATTTTTCGAGGGTGATTTTTTCTGGTAGGCAATGATGCGCAATAGATATCGCTGCTTCTGTTACTTTGGCATCCATTTGGGCAGCTACTTGAATTACTTCGTCGATACTTTCTTCGTTGTCTTCAAATGATCGCCGCTCATTTGGGTCCGAGTCAGGATGTTCAGGTATTCCAACGATTCTCAGATTAATTTAAGAGCTTTCAGTTCACGTGCGTCGATTGTTCTGCAGTGAGCTTACATAAGTTTTTGAATCGGGATTCTAGTTAGTTTTCGAGGGTGACTTGCCTTTGATATCAGCTGTTTCTGTTATTAGAATCATTAGTTTTCTCTAACTGTTTCATACATTTTACATCCTGGAAGTCTCGTTAATTAAATTGACATTCTGCAACTCTTAGTCTTCAGTTAGTTTATTTTTAAAACATTCGTACTTTTCATAGCAAATTCTGCCAGCCCATCTAGTTACCTTTTTGAGCAGTTGTTTGTTGTAGTGCTTGTCCACTGCCCTGAGGTGGTTCATCATGGACTCCACACTCGCGTCTCCGATGCTCTTCTCCCTCTCTATCACCTCAAACATCACACTGCTCCTGCTCGCCTCCAGAGACATCTCATCAAACTCCTCACTCCCATTCAAATAGCCTACACACAACAACACAACGCTCTTCCTTTTTGAATGGAGAGGCAACATTTGTCTCAATTTTTTTAAAAACCGAGGCGCGTATTTTTTCTTCTATTTGTTTTTTTTGCGTATTTAAGGAGTTCGGAAAAAAATTGGCCAAATTAACAGTTTTGAAATCAACCAAATAATGCAAGAGTTAGAAATATTTCAATTTACTGGCCTGATAAACATTTTCGAAGCTAATTACTAGACTCCGCCAGAAACTAGGACGCTTCATTAACAAATTCATCACTTTACCGCAGAATTTCTAGTAAAAGAGAAGCCACTGTAACTGTGTTTAGTATGCCAATAAAATAAAGCCGAAATCATTTAGCCGAAAAAAATTTTGAGCGAAAATACAATAAAAAAAAGGAAAACATTCGAAGTCAAGGCTAGTAGAATTATAAACTGCAGTAATAAATGAAAAACATAAAAAACAAATACAATGAAAACTATATAAAGCAAAAAATCTAAGATGTGGCAACTAAGCCGACAAAACATAAGCAGACAAAAAATAAGCCGATAATTTTTTTGAAACTGATTATTTCCCGTTTGCAAAAACAAGTCTTAGTCAGATTCGAAATCAGGATCTTTGCCGTCCCGGGCTTATTTGCTACTTCCAGACTGCCGCAAACCCGCGAAAAAGATAAATTTCAGCCTGAACAATCTTTAAAAAGCCCTACCACATGAGCACTTTTGTTTGCGACTTATTACATAACGCATAAGTAACGAATAAAGGTGATGCCACACGAGTAGTTATTTAAAGCAAAATCTCAACCATAATTAGATTAGAACTTCTGAAATTTGAAATCATTGTAGAGCCCTCATATCGCGCGAAGCAAGGGTCTTTCCAGCTTTTGCAAAAATTCTCTGATTTTTGCACAGAAAAAACTTAAAACATTTTGTACATTTTTCGACTTTCAAACAAAAATTATATCACATTAAAGCTCTTTGAATTTCAAGAATTTTATGATTGGCACTGTACGTTAAAGTTATCCCAATTAGAGTAAGCTGAATCAAATGTTTTATTTTAATTCCGCTCAAAATTCAGAAAATTAAAGTCCATTTTCGGAAACTAGAATTCATTCATGTTTTTCGTGAACTTAACACTTTTGCAGTTCGATAGTCGAGTTTGTCATCTTTTTAATAAGATACAAAAACGAAATTTTAAAATGAATTAAAAACGGAACTTTGAAATAAATCAAAATTCGGTGATATATTACAATAGGTGGTAGGTTCAATTTGAATAGCTGGATCGCTTTTTGTTATACTTCGCACATTATTTATAATTTGTATCTACAGCCAAACTTTTGGCAAAAGAAGTGTAAAATTTGAATTTTTGAAAAGCATTTCATCTGGCAGTGTAATGTATTTTTTTAAAAATTCTTAGTAGTAGTACAATTGATTGAAAATGAAATGACTGTATTATGCATTATAGTTCTCAAAATACATAGATGCACTACGCTCAAAAGGTGATATAATACAATATTATGGCTTAGGTTGTTTTTAACCGAGGGATCTTGATTACTTCAAAGAAAGCTCATAAGAAGTCAAACAAATGTATCATATTAAGGTCTCCCAGTTCAATTACACTATTGATTTAGCTATTATTAACTCTCATTCATGTTATTTTTAACTAATTCAGTAACCACTTACTAAAAAAAAAAAAACTTTTTTTTGAAAATTCCTTATTTAATTCATTTTTTTTTCTTGGGCAGGACAACGAACAGGCATTTCTTGCTTTTGTTATGGTTCAATCAATTTCAAGTCGCTTGTATCACTTTATCAACAGTCAGTTTTGTGTTGATCACTTCTTGTTCTTGTTTTAGTAAAGACTACCACTAGGTTTTTCGTGAACTCACACTTTTGCAGTTTGATAGTAGAGTTCGTCATCTTTTTTAATAAGACAAAAACGAAATTTTGAAATAAATAAAAATTCGGTGATCTATTACAATAGGTGGCAGGTTCAATTTGATCGCTTTTTGTTATAAATTTTTGGCTAAAGATGTGTAAAATTTGAATTTTTGAATAGCATTTCATCTGGCAGTGTAATGTATTAATACTATCTTAGTAGTAGTACAATTGATTGATAATGAAATGACTATATTATGCATTATAGTTCTCAAAATTAATAGATGCACTTTACTCAGAATTACCACCTATTGTAACATATCACCAAATTCGAACCGCGAAAAATCAAGTTTAATCGTAAACTAATTTTAAGCCTTTTGCTGGAAAAAAACTATCATCATGACCTATAGACGTGAGATCTTTTGGGGGAGGATATTAACTTGATCCGGGTTCAGTTCTAATAAATTTATTTGTTATAATCAATTAACTTTTGACTTTTGTGATAAACTCATCCTGACCTTGTATGATTTCTATGGCCTTCTCGTATGCCTTAGGCAGATTGGTGCTCTTCATGAGGTGCAGATTGAGACTCCCTGTCTCCACACTGAGATGCACACTGTACCCATAGCTGTAGCCTAGTCCTCTGATCAGACGCCACATGGGACCCTCAAGTCCAGTCAGGTACTCAATCAACACCTGAAGACAATGCAGTTGCTTGTCAGGTTATTCTTTTTATTATTAATAAACTAACAGAAAAACCACAGGGAACGATCCCAGATTAAAGTTCACACCCAATTATCACGAAGATAACGCTCAGGACACGGGAAGCGCTGAGCACATAATCACCGTCGTTTTCTTATAATTAAAGTCACAAATCAATTAATTTTAAACCAATCAAGATGCTTAAGGTCACCGACAATGCCGATAATTTCCCGTTAACTATACGCTACTGACTGACCATGACTGGCGCTATGTCCTGGTGTTCGTAGCTATCGATGTTGACAAAGTGACTCTGGACTAAGTAGCTGGACTCCACAGCACCTACGGCCACAATGGCCGACTTCACTTTTATATCTTCCATCTTCTTCATCAACTGCTTACTCCTCACTACCTACAAATAAAAAACTCCAAATAACTACAAATAACTAGTCTCAACAAACTATTCTTAACTAATTCAAATCTTAATCTGCCTGCTTAACAATAACCAGGAAACTGATAACTACTAACTGTTGTTCCAACCACTTCCCGAAGTGGGAAGCAATTATGGCTTAGGGTGTTTTTATCCGAGGGAAAAAGAAAGTTGTTTTTATCCGAGTGAAGAAGAAAGTTGTTTTTATCCGAGGGAAAAAGAAAGTTGTTTTTATCCGAGGGAAGAAGAAAGTTGTTTTTTATCCCAAGGAAGAAGAAAGTTGTTTTTATCCGAGCGAAGACAAAAGCTTTCAAGTTCTATCACAGAAAGCTCGTAGGAAGTCAAAAGTTGTATCATATTAAAGCAATTTGTAGTAGTTAGAACATAGTCGAAAGATGCCCGAGGGAAAAAGAGCCCGGCCTGAGGTCACGAAGTACCCGAGTGCGGCTGTTTTGCCCGAGGCCAACTTCAACTATGTTCTAACTGTTGAAGAGTATGTTTTTGCTCTTTCTGAGGGAAAGAGCCCGGAAAAGTGCGCGAAACTATGCAAATGATTTCTGTTTTCATTCATGCGTTCTAATATTTCATTTTTTATTCATGCCTTGTCGTGAAAGAGCAAAAACATACTCTTTCAGTTGTTATCTGATTCCAAGCTAAATGTAAACAAAATTTGATGCAACACTGGTCTCCCAGTTCAATTCCACTAGTTTTCATTGTTTTAGCTATTATTAACTCTCATTCATGTTATTTTTCATTTAATTCAGTAACCATTTATTACAAAAAAAACGTTTCTTTGAAAATTGTTTGTTTAACTCGATTTTTTTACTTGGGCAGGGCAACGAACAGGCAGTTCTTGCTTTTGTTAAGGTTCAATTTCAAGTCGCTTGTATCACTTAATCAACCGCCAGTTTTTTGTTGATCACTTTTGTTTTTGTTTTTGTTTTAGAGTAATCTGATTCATTCAGCGAGGTCTCCCTGATTGCTATTAACTTTGGTGGTGAATCAATAAAACTTATAAGCGCTTCTATTTCCTTATGGTCTTTTAACAGATCAACAGATCTTGCATGCTGCTTAGTTGTACTTTTAGCACAATTACCACTTGATTGGATTTATTTACTGTTTATAAAACCAGCTCCTCACGTCATTGAAAGAGTTTTTTCTTAGGAAATCTAGCTTTCGTAGAGAATTCGTGAGCAATGTATGTACAGTTCGATACTTTTGTACTGGCATCATTCTTCATCAGATACAGAACATTGAATCGGTACCGTTAGGTCTTCGAATATTTTAATATCTTTACTTGTAGTATATTGCAAGCGTTTTTTCTGGTTTTTAGCATGTAGAGTTTCCCACTCTTCTTGAAAGCAGCACAATCATCTTTCGAGGGTGATTTCTTCTGGTAGGCAATGATGCGCAACAGATATAGCGGCTTCTGTTACTTTGACATCCATATCGGCAGCTACTTGAATTACTTCGGCGATTTTTTCTTCGTTGTCTTTAAGTCACGATGTTCAGGTATTCCAACGATTCTCAGATTAATTTAGAGCTTTCAGTTCACGTGCGGCGATTGTTCTGCATGGAGCTTACATAAATTTTTGAATCGGGATTCTAGTTAGTTGCCTTTGATATCAGCTGTTTCTGTTATTAGAAACATTAGTTTTCTCTAACTGTTTCATACATTTTACATCCTGGAAGTCTCGTTAATTAAATTGACATTCTGCAACTCTTAATCTTCAGTTAGTTTATTTTTTAAACATTCGTACTTTTCATAACAAGTTCTGCCAGCCCATCTAGTTACCTTTTTGAGCAGTTGTTTGTTGTAGTGCTTGTCCACTGCCCTGAGGTGGTTCATCATGGACTCCACACTCGCGTCTCCGATGCTCTTCTCCCTCTCTATCACCTCAAACATCACACTGCTCCTGCTCGCCTCCAGAGACATCTCCTCAAACTCCTCACTCCCATTCAAATAGCCTACACACAACAACACAACGCTCTTCCTTTTTTAATGGAGAGGCAATATTTGTTTCATTTTTTTAAAAACCGAGGCGCGTATTTTTCTTCTATGTGTTTTTTTTGGGCATTTAAGGAGTTCAGAAAAAAAAATTGGCTGAATTAACAGTTTTAAAATCAACCAAATAATGCAAGAGTTAGAAATATTTCAATTTACTGGCCTGATAAGCATTTTCGAAGCTAATTACTAGACTCCGCCAGAAACTAGGACGCTTCATTAACAAATTCATCACTTTACCGCAGAATTTCTAGTAAAAGAGAAGCGACTGTAACTGTGTTTAGTATGCCAATAAAATAAAGCCGAAATCATGTAGCCGAAAAAAATTTTGAGCGAAAATACAATAAAAAAAAGGAAAACATTCGAAGTCAAGGCTATTAGAATTACAAACTGCAGTAATAAATGAAAAACATAAAAAACAAATACAATGAAAACTATACAAAGCAAAAAATCTAGGATGTGGAACTAAGCCGACAAAACATAAGCAGACAAAAAATAAGCCGAAAATTTTTTTGAAACTGATTATTTCCCGTTGGCAAAAACATGTCTTAGTCAGATTCGAAATCAGGATCTTTGCCGTCCCGGGCTTATTTGCTACTTCCAGACTGCCGCCAACCCGCGAAAAAGATAAATTTCAGCCTGAACAATCTTTAAAAAGCCCTACCACGTGAGCACTTTTGTTTGCGACTTATTACATAACGCATAAGTAACGAATAAAGGTGATGCCACACGAGTAATTATTTAAAGCAAAATCTCAACCATAATTAGATTAGAACTTCTGAAATTTGAAATCATTGTAGAGCCCTCATATTACGCGAAGCAAGGGTCTTTCCAGCTTTTGCAAAGATTCTTTGATTTTTGCGCAGAAAAATTTTAATAAAACATTTTGTATATTTTTCGACTTTCGAACAAAAATTATATCACATTAAAGCTCTTTGAATTTCAAGAATTTTATGATTGACACTGTACGTTAAAGTTATCCCAATTAGAGTAAGCCGAATCAAATGTTTTATTTTAATTGCGCTCAAAATTCAGAAAATTAAAGTCCATTTCCGGAAACTATAATTTATTCATGTTTTTCGTGAATTTAACACTTGCAGTTCGATAGTCGAGTTTGTCATCTTTTTAATAAGATACAAAAACAGAATTTTAAAATGAATCAAAAACAGAACTTGAAATAAATCAAAATTCGGTGATATATTACAATAGGTGGTAGGTTCAATTTGAATAGCTGGATCGCTTTTTGTTATAATTCGCACATTATTTATAATTTGTTTTAACAGCCAAATTTTTGGCGAAAGATGTGTAAAATTTGAATTTTTGAATAGCATTTCATCTGGCAGGGTAATGTATTTTCAAAAACTATCTTAGTAGTAGTACAATTGATTGACAATGAAATGACTATATTATGCATTATAGTTCTCAAAATTAATAGATGCACTACGCTCAGAATTACCACCTATTGTAACATATCACCCAAAATTCGAACCGCGAAAAATCAAGTTTAAGCGTAAACAAATTTTAAGCCTTTTGCTGAAAAAAACTATTATCATGACCTATAGAAGTGAGACCTTTTGGGGGAGGATAGTAGCTTGATCCGTGTTCATTTCTAATAAATTTATTTGTTATAATCAATTAACTTTTGACTTTTGTGGTAAACTCATCCTGACCTTGTATGATTTCTATGGCCTTCTCGTATGCCTTAGGCAGATTGGTGCTCTTCATGAGGTGCAGATTGAGACTCCCTGTCTCCACACTGAGATGCACACTGTACCCATAGCTGTAGCCTAGTCCTCTGATCAGACGCCACATGGGACCCTCAAGTCCAGTCAGGTACTCAATCAACACCTGAAGACAATGCAGTTGCTTGTCAGGTTATTCTTTTTATTATTAATAAACTAACAGAAAAACCACAGGGAACGATCCCAGATTAAAGTTCACACCCAATTATCACGAAGATAACGCTCAGGACACGGGAAGCGCTGAGCACATAATCACCGTCGTTTTCTTATAATTAAAGTCACAAATCAATTAATTTTAAACCAATCAAGATGCTTAAGGTCACCGACAATGCCGATAATTTCCCGTTAACTATACGCTACTGACTGACCATGACTGGCGCTATGTCCTCGTGTTCGTAGCTATCGATGTTGACAAAGTGACTCTGGACTAAGTAGCTGGACTCCACAGCACCTACGGCCACAATGGCCGACTTCACTTTTATATCTTCCATCTTCTTCATCAGCTGCTTACTCCTCACTACCTACAAATAAAAAACTCCAAATAACTAGTCTCAACAAACTATTCTTAACTAATCCAAATCTTAATATGCCTGCTTAACAATAACCAGAAACTGATAACTACTAACTGTTGTTCCAACCACTTCCCGAAGTGGGAAGCAATTATGGCTTAGGGTGTTTTTATCCGAGGGAAAAAGAAAGTTGTTTTTATCCGAGTGAAGAAGAAAGTTGTTTTTATCCGAGGGAAAAAGAAAGTTGTTTTTATCCGAGGGAAAAAGAAAGTTGTTTTTATCCGAGGGAAGAAGAAAGTTGTTTTTATCCGAGGTAAGAAAAAAAGTTGTTTTTATCCGAGGGAAGACGAAAGCTTTTAAGTTTTATCACAGAAAGCTCGTAGGAAGTCAAAAGTTGTATCATATCAAAGCAATTTTTAGTAGTTAGAACATAGTTGAAAAATGCCCGAGGGAAAAAGAGCCCGGCCTGAGGGCACGAAGTGCCCGAGGCCATCTTCAACTATGTTCTAACTGTTGAAGAGTATGTTTTTGCTTTCTAAGGGAAAGATAAAAGGAAAATTGTGAAAGAGACCGGAAAAGTGCGCGAAACTATTCAAATGATTTCTGTTTTCATTCATGCGTTCTAATATTTCATTTTTTATTCATGCCTTGTCGTGAAAGAACATGTGTGAAAGAGCAAAAACATACTCTTTCAGTTGTTATTCTGATTCCAAGCTAAATTTAAACAAAATTTGATGCAACACTGGTCTCCCAGTTCAATTCCACTAGTTTTCACATTGTTTCAGCTATTATTAACTATCATTCATGTAATTTTTCATTTAATTCAGTAACCATTAACTAAAAAAAAACTTTTTTTTGAAAATTGTTTGTTTAACTCGATTTTTTTTCTTGGGCAGGGCAACGAACAGGCACTTCTTGCTTTTGCTGAGGTTCAATTTCAAGTCGCTTGTATCACTTAATCAACCGCCAGTTTTTTGCTGATCACTTTTGTTTTTGTTTTAGTAAAGAATACCACTAAGTGTCTGTATATTTCTTTAAGAGAAGCGGCTAAACATCAACAAGAGGAACCCAAAAAGAGAGGCTCCTTTTAGGATCTGCGAAGTCATCCTTTCTTTATAACACAATGATATTAACATAGATGCAGTAGCGATTTCATCTAATTGCAGCGATTTCATCTAATTTGCAAAAAATGATATTAACACAAATGCAGTAGCGATTTCATCTAAATTGCAGCGATTTCATCTAATTTGCGAAAAATGATATTAACATAAATGCAGTAGCGATTTCATCTAAATTGCAGCGATTTCATCTAATTTGCAAAAAATGATATTAACATAAATGCAGTAGCGATTTCATCTAATTTGCAGCAATATTTGACCTTGAATGCGCCGTAGTCGCTTCTGATATCTCCTGACCCGGATGGTCTGGTCTCAGTCCATGATTTGAGGAACACCTCCTTCCAGGGAGTGGTCACTCTGTCCGGAGAGGGAAACTTCTGCACTGCAGTGGTCAGATGCAGTCTCATTCTGTTCAGTTGAGTGACATACTCGGTGATTTTGAACAAATATCTAGAGCATGAACAAAGTTGAGCGCCAACTTGAACAAAAACGGCAGTTTTCTATTTGAGAATATTGGTCATAATTGTCAGTTTCTTCAATCAAATATTCGAATTTGTTTGATTCAATCAAAATTTATGATTACAGTTCCATTTTCAGATTAGTTATACAATTAGTAAAAACTTTTGTTATTTAATGATTTGAGCTTTCGCTCTCGTTTAAATGGATGTTAACAAAACTTGGTTACCCAAGTAGCCTATTAAGAAACTACAACACGGTACTTCTGTTTTTTTTTCACCTTGAATAATTTCAATAATGACAAAAAACTTGTTGCTCACCCTAATAGCTTAGCGGGCTCCTTGTCAATTATCTTCAAACAAGACTTGAGAATCTTCTCCTGGTTCAGCACCGATGCATGATATGGGTTACTATTCGTTGTCATTATTAGCTTCATATGAGTTGCAGAACAGACTGTTCTTCCGTTTCGCTTTTTACCATCAACTGTATTCAGCACCTTCTGTATTATACTTTTCACTCTATCAGCCTCGAAATTCTGTCTAAAACAATAAGGACATTTGAAGTCAAAGTTCTGGGTGCGAATCCTGTTTTCTCCACTTTTTCATTTAGAACCTAATTATTCTTGCACGTTGAGTCACTGTTTATCACTTGGAAATACTCATTTGAAATACTGTTTATCTTTCTGGTATTACATGTGCTATTCAGAACATGATTATCAGTTCCAGTGAAAGATTTAATTCTGGTAAAAAGCGATGGAATTATTTTCAATTAATAATAGTTACTGTTGTGTAATTACATGCCCAAAAATCTGACCAAAACATCTTTTCATTTTTTTATTCTAAGTATTATTTCAATCCACAGTTAAAAAATTAGGAAGCTCTTGCTTCCGAATCCAAACACCAACCTAAACAGGAGTCGACTAAGCCACGAAACTCCATCACTGTACTTCTGCAACTTGCTATCTCGGTCTACTTTCATAGAAAGAGACAACATCTCGGGAAAGGAGCCAGCTGAGAATGTGGCGCCGTTTACTGCTCCTAACTGACAGGAGGACTCCAGGAGATCTCGCTCTAGTCCGGCAACTACGTCTTCGTATTTGATAACAGTTCCTTTCTCATCCTAAAATCACAATTTGCAAGTGATTCATTTTACACAGAGGCGAAGCTGAGCTTCGCACCACTTGCGATACAAAGCACGAAAGCCGCTAAGTAGAAAAAAATTCGAGAATTTCGAACTAGATCTATCGATAAGGCATGACTTGAAGCAACAACGAGCCAAGACAATAGGCTGTGAAACAAGCATCGGAAGAAAAGTTATCACGCGGTAACAAAGCCGGAAATACCTTAGCAACAACCCTTTAGGCCAAAAAAAAGTTTTCAAAACAATATCAAGTGGCCTACACTCTCAAATAAACAAACAAATAAACACACGCACAAAAAAAACTTTATTGACGCGTCAAATGAAACAATATGCGGTGCGGCCACTATGCCGATATAATATAAGCCAAAACCAATGGCCGAAAAAGAAGGAAAATAAAAAAAAACAGAGCCGGAAAAAATTTAAGACTACTAAAAAATATTAAGTCCCCTCGCCCTCAAAACACAGGCACGCACGCACAAAAAATTTTCGCCCATCTAAAGGCACAATATGCAGCCGTTAAACCGATATAAAATAGGCCGAAACTTATCAAGCTGAAAAAAAAAACAAAAAAGCCAAAAAAACTTACCATGAAAAACTATAATTTCAATTAAGATTTTCAGCATTTTGTGCGATCCGGAGGTGAACAAAAAACTATTTTTCTCTTGAAACCCATCAAATTTAGGCCACTAAGCCGATATAAAAGAGGCCCGAGCCCATTAAGCCGAGAAAAGACGAAAAAAAGATAAATTTAAAACAAATCGAGTTGGAAAAATCACAGCCAACATAAAAAGCAAATTTTGAAACACACCGATATTTAAAGTAACAAAATCAACCATTTTTAATATTTGCAACCGAGAGGAGTAGAATTATCAAAGAGGACGAAGAAAAGAGGATTTGCAAAGAGGATTTTGGAAGGAGACCTGTGGACAAAGTTGTTTACGGAAAAAATTCTAGAACCCGATTGCAAATTGTTTTCTTGCCTCGATTCTGATTTGTTCATGACTTTTCTATTATATGAAATATCTAACTTTTGCTACGCAGCCATTTGGAAAAAAACTGTTTTTCTTTTGGTGTTTTGACGAAGGGGCCAATTAAAGGACACCTTGTCATCGTCCATTTGAATAATTTATATCGGTAACTATTCAAAATGGTGTGACCTTGACTGCCGTCTCGCCTATCAATTCAGTCCACAACATCAGGTAGGGCTTCAACTCGTCTCCAATCCCACTGGTATCAAACAGCATAGTCCAGGCTATGAACTGCGTCTCCTGGATATCATCCAGCTCAGTTATGAAGGGAAACAGCTTCAGATCCACTTTGGTAGCCTCGTCCGTTTTCCTGCAATGAAAAAAAAGTCGATTAGTTCATAACTTAGTTAAATATTTACCTCAAGTTACAAAATACTTCCTCTGCATGATAAATAATTATTCAAAAAATCTGATAATCGGTATTTTAAGGTGAGATCCATTCATCAAAATTGACAAAAATGACAAAAGACAAAAAGCGCTTAAAATAGCGTTCAAGAAGACACAATTGTAAGTTTTTCTTCACAAATATCCGAGTATAGAAAGAAGTGTTTAGAATGACAATCTGTGAAACTTATCAGCATAGATTGCAACTTAACCTGTAATTACTAGATGCAGTCAAGTTGTGGAAATGTATCTTCTCGACATCTGGAATCGGGATCTTGGACAACATCTCATCTGGAGCTTCGATCTCATTCTGGTCAACTGCGTCTTCCAGATCCTTTTCCATTTGAGCCAGACCACTCTCGCCTAATTCCGCCTTGCGTTTCGCCACTAAGTCTTCAACTTCCTTAGCTAGTTTAGCTTTCTCTTTGAGACTAGGTTTCCCTTAAAGCAGATTACAGATGTGAACAACACTTCTTGGATTGGATACGATTCAAATTTCTTGAGTGCATTCCTCTCACAAACAGTACAAAAATGGCTATGCTTCAATAACAAAATAGATTATGATACTGAAACTCAAGAACTGGTTTCAAAAGTTTTTCTATTCAAAAATTGATGTCATAAAAAAAGCTGCTGAACCCTTTTAACTGGACGTCACTGATTCAAAATTAAACAAGATTACTTTATCTAGAGAAAATATACTGACCAATGATTTCAACATATGGCTTAGTAGTCAGCTCCGTCATCAACTCTTTCCAATACTTCTCCGACTCCTTGGCTGCCTTTGCCAACTGTTTCGTCTTATTCAGTCTGTCTTCTAATTCTTGCTCTTTTAATCCAAAAAGGATGTGGCCCATTACTTCTCCTGAAGTGGCTTCGTGAGGACAGTCCTCCAAAGAATTCAGAGTCTCTAGACGCTTCTTCTCGATGATTGCTTTCAGGCGCTCCATCTTCAGACCCTGCAATCAACAAATTTAATAGAATGCACGATTTGAGAAGATTAAATTTCATGACCAAAAAGGCACATTTGGTCTTATACCAAGGAACTCGTCGCGAAAATGAACATACTGAAATATTTGATATCCATGATCATGTCAAACGTACCGAATTAGGCAGGCAAAAATAAATTTCTTAAATTAAGTCCGAATAAAAGTGAATTTCCGAGTCATTTAAACAGTTGTCACGTTACCTTGTCTAGTTCAGCCTTGATTACTTCAAAGAATTTTGGTCGAATCTTGTCCAAGTTTTTTGATTCGACGTTTGCAAACTTGAAGAAAATTGTGCTTTCTGTTGCCTCCATCATTGACCATTTCACATTCGAGCAAAATGGGTTTTCATTCTCAACGAAAGCTTGTCTAAGAGGTGCTACACTAGTATCAGAGAAATAATCCAGCACTAAATTGAAGCAGAGTGATTTGTAAATCTCGATCGCTTTTGGTCCTCTAAAGCCAATAAGAACCATCCCTTTATCTTCTGTGTCGTTTCCAAAAGGAACTACTTTCGTCACAGACTTCGTAAGCTCCGGAACCGGCGACATCCAGGGTCTTTCCATTTTTGGCAATGGATTCTTTTCTAGCTTATTTCTGATTTTCTCGTCCATCGCGGACATTGTTTTAAACACGTCTTGAGGGTCAACCTGTCCAGTTATAATTAAGGTTAGATTATCAGGGCGATAAAACTGAGCGTGATAGTTTTTAACTTTTACATTGGTGGTGCTTTCTCTGAGATTTTTCATAATTCCTCCAGTTTCGCTTTTGAACCCACATTTACCTGGGTATATTTCTCTCATGAGCTCTAGATATGTTCTATTTTCTCCGGTATTCTCACATCCTTGCATTTCGCAGTAGACAACGCCACCATCTTCGCCAGTTTCTGTGATGTGGTGAACTTCAGTTGCAAAAGCACTGTCCGTTAAAGTCGGATACAGAACGTGTTCAATATAAACCTAAACACGGGCATAGGTAAGATATTTTATCATAATTAGCCAACGGAGATTTGGAAGAACACTAATGCACTCAAGGATACTGAACAAAGCAAAGAACTATTATCATCATTACAGCCATTTAAATTTTAAAAATCTTTTATTATAGATAATTTTCAATGAAGTTAGCGCAAGCTGAGAAAAAATTAGATCAATTGAATTAATGTTTTGAAAAGATCTCAAACTAAACCATCTCAAACGGTCGATGACTTACATAGGTGAAATTCACATCGTTCATTAACATTTATTCAATCAGCGGAGTGAACAAAGGAGAAAATTCAATTAAATCAAACGCTAAGAAATTATATTAACTTACAGGCAAAAAATTGAGAAAACCTTCTGCACCAGCAGTCTCAACCGTGTAGACAGTATGATCCACATCTGTGTACGCATTTGTTCCCTGAGCAAAACACCTGTTAGCCAACATATCTAGCACCCCTTTGTATGGATAATCCTCGCTTCCCATAAAAACTAAATGCTCTAGTGTATGTGGCAGCCCGTCGTCATCATGAGCCTCGGTTGCTAACATGAAATAACCGTTGACAATTGGGCCAGGAACCTGACAAATTGCAACTCTTATGCCAGTCACAGAAGACTTATAAATTTCAATAGGTATAGTGTCCTCGCATAACTTCGAAACAATTTTTTGATACGCAGAAGAACTGATAGGGGCAGCAGGCATTACTCTTTCTGTAATTAACCAATTTGAGGAACAAATTCGCTTTTTAGTTCTGCACAAAAATGACTTTGCAAAGCCCTTCGAAATACGGCTTAACATGTGTATCGGAAAATGGATCGCCTGCAGGTCAGCAATTCAGATGAGGATCTTTACAGAACACTGACAAAACTAAAAATTAACACAAGAGGTCAATTAAAATGGGCTCTTCCGTCATGCGGGTTGGATAGAGCCGTAAAAACGCTACATTGTGACATTCGACCAGAATGGCCAAAATGCAGTCTCTGCAGAATTCAGGATTTTAGCAGTGAACCTTCCGGATTGGCGATTTAGAACGGATAAGGACGTTATTTGAATGATTGGCCAAACGGTGAAGGCTAGAAGATTCTGGAATTCTACATTTTAAATTTTCGAAGTGATGACGTAACATTTCTGAGAAATGTTAAAACGGCCATTTTGGCTAAAATAGCAGAAAGAAACAGAACAACTTTATCTGCGATTACGAACAGTACGAAAATCGAGACTAAAAAACAACAACGAACTACCGAACAGCAGAGGACGTTCCGAGTTGCAACTATTGTGCTGTTACAATAGTTGCAAGGCCGTTGCGAACAACGGTGAAGGGTAAAAGCCAGCCCTCCGAGTTAGCGTGAACCTGAGGTTAAGGAGCTTGATTCGCCGGATTCAAGAATCCGGAAGGGTCTCGGGACGGGAACTTTTATGAACTTGTATTGAATTTTAGCATCCTGTCATGTCCTGACTTGAATTTAACTGATATTTTGATTAGTTTTGACAAGGATGAGGTGCTAGGAGTTGGGGGAAAGGGTTGATCCATCTTCGATGGAGATGATGATTTTTATCTACTGAACAAAAACAATAGTAATATGATAAGTAGTAGCCCTGTTTTTAGGAGTGACCTCGTGGTCTGGGGATACAGAGACCCAGCCATGAGCTCACTAATTTCGCATGTAATTCAGTTAATTTGAGCGTTCTGGTCGAAGCCGGAGAACAGTAACGTTTTTGTTAGCCTGATGTAAGAAAGACCACCGAAAAGTACTGGCTTGGTAGAGACGGTGAAAAACATGCAAAGCTCTGTTTAGACGCTAGCCAGTCGTCTTAAGACTTAGTTTTGTTATCCGTCGATATGTATCTTCCGGGCGAATGTTACATGTATGTTTTTATGGCGCTCCTGGGTGTTATTCTTTCATAACATCATGACCGGCGGAACCGTTAACGAGCACTCCGCGCCGAGCGGATGCTCACATTAACGCCCTTAATAGGCGTTAATGTGAAGTCTCAAAATTCGGGTAGTGGATTTTAAGACTTGTAGATTCACTAGTGGACGTTGTCCGAACAACTATTTTTACTGTCCTACCTCAAAAATTTCAAAAAAATTTTCTAAATTTTTAGTGTTTCTTACTATCAAAAATTGGGAAAATTTGGTTTTTGGTACCAAACTAGTTCCAACCGCTTCCGAACTAAAGTTAACCGGTTCTACTTATTACAGTAGTGCAGTTACGATGTAACACACTAACTTAGCGCTTTTTTCCGTTTCAAAAAATATCGATATCTCAAAAATCGCGACTTTGGGGGGATCAAAATATCGCTATTTTGACCCTAAAAACCGGTCTGTTTTCGTTGTTTTTCACTGAAAATCGATATAAGACTATTAATATAGGCTATATAAATAATAATATTAGTAATACTATACCCCTCCGGGTTTGTTTATTATCCGAATTAAGGTGCTTAACTCGGATATTCGCAGTTCGGTGAAGGGTCACTACAGTGCAGCACTGTCGAGCCCCCCACAGATTACTATCTTACTTTTTGTACCAAAAGGGATACAAAACTTGTTAACGATACCCAACAGTCGATTGTTGTTGTCGTTGAGCCCCTTCTTGTTGCTCCTTGAACTGCTTGCCGGATCGGTCTTCACCCAAGACCCTTCCGAATTGAGCGCAAATCAGCTGACCCTTCCGGATTGAGCGCAATTTATCATTAACGTGCTTAAATGCTCAAATAACCCTACAGTACAAGCCTCACAAACGGGCTACAAAATTGATCGTAACGATCCTGACTGATATAAATGCCTGTAACAACAATATATCTATCAACAACAAACGGGGGGGTTGGATCAAGCGAACCCGGTCCGATAAAGAGGGGACGGTTTCAGGCAGAATGGTTGAAACGAGAAGTCAAAAGACCTCAGAAGAGCGAAGAGAACTGTTAGAAGTGGAGGTCAATACGGACCATACCATGAACGACAACCAGGGAGTAAATGGACTGGAAGGGAGAGGCAGAAGGCTGGCGAGTGAATCTACTCCGGTAGAACAAGGCCATGATTTTGCCACTTCCACCGGGACGTTGGATCGAGAGGAGATGTCGGAACTGTCCGACATCTCAACTGAAGTAACGGCAACTAGAAGATCTCCGACAGACAACACTATGATGGCAGGCGGAACGGGGAAACAAACAACGTCATCATCATTCTCAGAAAGAATGAAGAACACCTTCGGAAACATCTTTCCATTCAGCATGGGAGGAGGAGCAGGAAATGACGGTGAATCCCAAGAGGAAGAGGATGAAGAAGAGCAAGGGGACTTTGGATCTCAGGTCAGCCTCAACAGTTCGATCCAGGAGAACGAGGCATACGTCGGAGGAGAGACTGGAACCATGGACAAATTTGGTGTAGTGACAACAATAAGCAAAGAGGCAAACACACCAGGCCAGTCAAAAGACTTCGCGATTAGGACAAGTTCAGAGCCACAACCTGAAGAGGGTAGAACCAGAGGGCTTAGCAACGCGTTAGCGGATCCTGAAATAAATAATGATAAAAGGTCAAGACAGAGAGTAAAGGCCAGGATCTCTACCAGCACGAAGCTACCTGGGACCCACAGAGTTACACCACCACTAGTGACGCCACTCATGGATAACGGGGCAGCACTAGAAGAAGCCTTAAACAACATAGTGGGCAGTTTAGGAGAACAGAATGAACAGATGTCGATAAGGATGAGTGAACTGGAAAGAGCAGTTCACATTGAAAGAGAAAGTCTGCGGGAAGAAATAAACCGCAACAGACAAGAAGTTGGCAGAAGCGAGAAACGCTTGAAAGAAAGAACGGACGAACATATGACGAGGAACTTGTCGCGAATGACAAGAGAGGCGGAACAGAGGGAGTTACGCTTAAGAGCCGACATGGAGAAGTTAAGAATTCAGCAAGAGCAGTCTCTTGGGTCTCTTGACACAAAGATAGACGCGATGATGGAGAGGCGAACTCAGGCTATCATGGATAGGTTGGACGGGCTACTAAGCAGCAAGAGTGGACCAAAAGAAGGAGAGCCGAACTCGGGAGGTCCCAGCAGGGAACCGAGGGTGAACTTCAATGAACATCAAAGGAGGAAGACGTATGGATCCACTAGAGGCAGGGGCAGTTCATCAGGCTATGCCACAAGGGGTAATACAGCATGGGGCCCGAACAGTAGAGCGAGTTCAACGGGGAACAGACAAACCTCGAACGAACGACCAACGCAAAGCACACATGCGACTGGGAGAAGCGATTCTGGCAACATGGGGCATACAAGCCCGAGGAGGAGTCATATGGGCCAAGCGGGAAACGCTCAAGGTGATTCGGATTGCAGGGATGCACCGCACACAGAGCCTTCGACAAGGTGTGAGGACACTCAAGCGGGACTCTCAAGGGATGCTACGGCAATGGCCACAGCATTTGAACCCCTGAACAGGTCTTTGGAGACATTCCTGACGCGGTTATCTAGAACCAATGAACGCAGTGAAAAGTCCAGAAGAGTCTTTAAGAAACCAAGATGCTACAAAGACGAATCTGATGGCTGTATTGATACCTGGATAGAGGTAATGAAGCTGCATTTCGAGGAAGAAGACTTGTCTGAGAGACAGGAATGCAGCGCGCTCACCAGCAACTTAGAAGGGACAGCCCTGAACTGTGTCATGGCCAAGAAACAGTATCAACGTGACACTGCTGAGAAAATCTTCGAAATCTTATTAAACCGTTTCGGATCAGGGGTGCAGGGGCACCAGGCGATGATGCGCTTCGAGAAACGGAGGCAACGAGAAGATGAAACAATAGACAAGTTTCTCGATGATTTGGAAATGCTGAGAAGACGCAGCCAACCGGATGAGTCAAACCGAAGGATGAACCTGGCCGTAGCCTCAAAATTCATCGATGGTGTGAAAAATGATGAACTTCGTACGATGTTAGCAACGCATTACACACCACTATCAACTAATGCGCCAACACCGGAGGAGTTGAGGCTCAAATCAAAAGAGTATCTATTGTTGAAACCTCCTTCGAGATCTGGATATTACAAGAACAATTATGGCAATTTTAACAAAGGACCAGCAAATCAAGGGAACAATTGGTACAAAACGAGGGACGATATGGACAAGAGACGCTCTTGTGCTAATTGTAGTTCAACAGACCATCATGTGTCAGCATGTCCAGCTTACAAACAAGGCATGAAAGCAATAGGCTTTAGCCTCGAGGACGAAGATGCGTCAGAGTTGGACCATGAGGATTTCATGAGAGGAGTAATTGCGAAATTCGGCCCGAGGTGTTTCTTTTGCAACTTGGAAGGTCATTTTAAATCAGATTGTCCGCAATTCTGGGATGCAGTGGCGGACATCAAGCATCCAAGGCATGAAGAAGCTTTGTCAGGAGTGAAAGCAAGCAAGGCTCGACTCTTGAGCGAAGCAGAGGCACGCAGGAAGGACAAACCTCAAGAGCTGGCGGCAAAGAAAATGCAAGCGGTAACAGAAGAAGCACGTGAACCGGAACCAGCAACTGCGGCCGATGACTTCAAGATCGATTATAAGGCAGCCGCAAAGGATGCTCTAAATAGAGTACAGCAGGAATTGGTGACGAAAGAGATCGAACAAAAAGTGAAACTTGAACTGGAAAATGAAAAGCTTCAGGAGCAACTGAATACCTTCGAGGCAACGGAGTTCGAGGAGACGAAAACACCAAGCAGTTTAGATATGAAACTTAAAGTGATCTCCGGTAAGAGGTTCGGCATGGCGCCGCAAGGAAAGAAGATACAGTCGATAATCTCAGTGGCTGGACACCAGGTAATAAGAAATTTGAGTGAACCATAAAATTTGAGTAGATAAAAGTAATTTCGTGCATTTTGTAAATT